CCTTCTGTCAACACCATACATTCTACATTAACTCCATTGTTTTTTTATGACTTTTATAAAAGCAGGAGAGGGCAGTGAACATCTTTTCAGACAATTCCTCATTGAATCATCAGCTAAGGGTGTACGCATCAAGGGCTCTTCTCAGGAACCATACTTTGGTAGGTAAATGTTAACAACAAGACCACAGTGTTGCACATGTAGAAGTCAATGTTGTTGATAACTCACTGAAAACTCACCCGCCTACGCAATACATGTACACATCCTGGATTGACTGTCTGATGATGTGTGCCACACCAGCACTGAGTCAGCCATGTCTGGCCTCTTAAGATGTGAGTGGGCAGTTCCTAATTTGATTGAATGAGTTCACAGGGAGTGTTCTCACGTCCACAGAGCCATTATCAGGGTTTATTGTGGCCTGTTTTCTTTGTTATCCGCTTCCACAGAATTCTATCTTCAATAAATACAGCTGTGGTGGCTTTGTAAAATTCCAACACAAGAACAAAACCAAAAATAAAGTATATTGAACCAGATACAGGCTATCATCCTCTCATCATTTAATTTCAGCTAAAAGTTTTTTATATCATGTCAAAAATATTCACACTTTTCTAATCTTAAGAGGATAGTGGACTAGATCGAATGTTAAAACCAATGATTTGATTTGTGTTATCTCTACAGGTAGTCTCTCTGCTCTGGTCTACCAGCACACTATCTCTGCTTACGCTTTACCCTGCAAATTAGTGCTCCACTCCCAAGGTATGCTATTACATAGTTATTTACCAGGTGTGTGTGTGCGTGTGTATGCGTGCGTGCGTGTGTGTGTGTGTGTGTGTGTGTGTGTGTGTGTGTGTGTGTGTGTGTGTGTGTGTGTGTGTACAAGTACCTCAACATTTTACTTAAGTACAGTACTTGAGTAAATGTACTTAGTTATTTTTACACCACTGCTTATTTGTCTGCACAGATGCAGCAGATGAGAGGGCTCAAGACAAACAAGCATCGGAGGACAAGAGAAAAACAGGTGGGTCAAATTAACAATATAAAGGGAGTAGATAGTACAGTAAAGAAGAATATAAACCGAAGTTGTTTATGAACATGTAAGTTAACTAACACTTATGTTCACGTTATGAGAAAGTTATTAGTAGCCTAAGTACCAAGTGCCAGTTAGGTTAGAAGAAAATAAGGCGCAGCAAACACATACAAAATAAAAAAATGCGAAAAGTAGATAACAATTGGGGTTAAAACGAACATTAACAAGACCTTACATTAAGTCACATAAAATTCAACTTCATTAAATAAACCAGTGTTTTTACCTTTTCTTCTCTTGTAGTCACAGTATTTGGCAGATATGTAGAAAAGGCTAACAGTAGCTTGTCCCTATAAACTTGCTAATTTAGGTTAAATTAGCTAACAGCTAACTTTAAGGTAACGTTTCTTCTTTAGGACTCATCTAAATCCTTTCAGAAACACCTCAATGAATAATAACTAAATGTTAGTATTACAAGTTAATTGTAGCATGTTGTCTTGCAGCTAACAAAATGAGAAAAAACTGACGGAGCACAAGTATTACTGTATAGTGTGTACTGTAAATGTAACCGTGCTGTAATCCAGGTTAGCTAATGTTAGCAAAGCACAGGAGTTACTAATGGCCTTGATTAATGAATGTTGCGTGTAATTAAATAACAGGTGTGCCAGTTATTTTTACTTTGCTAATATGCCATTACTCTTGTCTTGTTAGGCTGTGTGTGGTGGGACTTACACATGACATAACATTTAAAGGAGCAATAGTAGCTACATTAGGGGTTGTGTAGTCTTCTTTGTTTCTACCACTTATTTTTGAACTTTATAACCACATTCTATCTTGTTTTTTGACAAAATGGCAGATGAATGAATAAATGCAGCTAGATTTCCAAATAGAAAATAATATATTTAATGTTCTGGAGTAAAACAAAATTATATTTACATCTGAAGCATGGAGGATTGTAAGTATAAAGGACCTTAAACGGGAAATACTCAAGTACAGTGCAAATAACTTAACATTGTTTTAAGTACAGTACAAATTATTTGTTACACCACTGCCAGCTGAGCAGCCAACCAAGTCATGCATTTATATTATTTCTATATATTTTCACCTGTACCACCATGTACAAATTATACAGAATAGACCTGTACAATGGAACTACAATAAGAAAAGACAACTTTGGTTGAAAGTTACTCCTTGTTTCCTGTAAGTACATTTGGAGCAAATCTTATTTGAAAGTACCTATCTATGTCTGTTTTGCCCAAGAGAATGGTCAATGACCCAGAACAATCCAGTAGGGAGTTTCACTTAAAGGTGGGGTAGGTAAGTTTGAGAAACCGGCTCGAGATACACTTTTTGTTATATTCCATGGAATGCTCTTAACATCCCGATAGCAATGAATATCTTAAGTGCTTTGACAAAAAATCCATAACAAAATGTCATCTGTGGAAGCCGTAGTACTGTAAAAAGCACGACCAATCATTTTAGCCGGCCCGGCTAAAATAACTGGATGGCCTACCTACCTGTCAGCCTTCCATCTGTGCACAAACTTATCTCGTGCCCTCATTGGTCATGTGCGCGTTCGTGTGTGTTGGAGGAGGGGCTCTATAAGGAAGTGGCAGATTTTTTCCGGTTGTGTATTTTCAAATTCTAGCACACTCGAGCTGGTTTCTCCAAAATTACCTACCCCACCTTTAATTACATTTCCCACCCTACATGTTTAATTACATGTGTACTCAACCTATATTTCTAATCAAACTATCACAATGTTTTTCTTTACCACAGTTGCTTGCAATTTTGTCTACCTGAATGCTGTCCCTACTGAAACGCTGACGGGCCCCTGTGCAGTGCAGAAGGCGGTGTCTTCGACACTTGAGAAGGCCTCGGGTTCCTTCATACCAACCATAGTGAACTTGAAGGTGTCTTTGAAGGGTGTTACACTGACAGATGTCAACAGGAAGTAAGACTAACACAGTCTTCGTGCTGCTGAGATTTTACTTACAGTATACAATAAAACCACAGTGCTGTTTTTGTGTGTAACATTTTGCTGCAAATGATCATTGCTAACAGTAACAATAATCTATTTTTTAGGCTCTTCTTCAGGCGCCATTACCCTGCTCACCTCCTGAGCTACGGTGGGGGAGATCCAGACAATCGACTGTGAGTATACAAAACAAGTTCTGAAATCAAAGTGATTCTTAATGGTTCCACGCCGGAGGGTGTCTGGCAATTTGTACAGTCTATTTACATGAATATCTCATATATATCTATTTTTTTAAACTTCAGCTTGGCCTCTAGGATTATTCGATTCGATTTTGATTGTCCAAGGTTAAGGTCACTCTAACTTCATAAAATATGTTATTGGTCATAACAAGAGAATAGATAATGACGAATTATGACAATGTGGAGCAAATGTGTAATTTGATAAAATGATGAAATTTTAGACGGACATGAATGTAAACTGCATATTGAGTTGTTGGCGTAGGCGTACAACCACAAAACTGTCATTCTAGTATTAAGAATAATGTGCCGGATCTGGCATTCAAATCTAAAGTTATTCATTTCAAAGGAGCTCTTCCTGCTATAACGCCAGAGTTATAAGCAGTCAAACTTTACCAAGCATTTCTCAAACCAAACTTTAACTTTTAAATATTTTAGTATATTAAGATGAACTTTTACTTTTTCACTCTGATGTTATCAGACATATTATACACACATAGGTCCGAAATTAACACACACGCATGCACAAACAGGACCCTTTATTACAGTAGACACAATCTTTAAATGTTAAACCTTGTCTTTTTTACTCTTACAGGTGGGTGAAAGGATCCAGTTTTGGTGCAAGGTAATTCTTAACTTGAATTGTGATATTTTCTGTTTAACTACAAATGATACATGTTTTCTCATGCGACGATCCATAAAGCCACCCAGGTTTCTGGCTCACCTGCATTCTTCTTGAACTTAAATGTTGTACTTAATAAATCTAACTTAATCTAACATTTCTGTGTCCCGACAGAACGTTTGGCTTTGTGGCGAAAGGTATTGAGGCTGGCATGGAGAATGTGTGCCACGTGTTTGCAGAATATGACCCCCTGCAGCCTTGCAACAATGTCATTGAAGTTATTCGAGCCTCCATAGCCTAGCCACAGACTCACAAAGACTGAGGCAACATGACACCTGGGATCTTAAAGCACTATCTACACTTAAACTGTATTTTGTTAGTAACCGTCCAATACTGTATCTACTAGATTACAATACAACATCTGAAAAGCATGGTCACATATTCAAGTCAAAAGAGTAGCATATATGAAGATATGCAAGACTGATTTGCCTTCAAACAACAAACCAGACAAGAAACCAGCAACATTTGATTGTAAATTGCAAGCTGCTACTGTTCAAATAATCCAGTTTGTAAATGTTAAAATAAATGGTACTTTACTGTACTTTTGTATAAAGGAAGCTCTGCAAAATAATTTCAATGTTGTTTTACAAAAAGATAAGATAAAAACATAGAGATTAGGTCATGGTAAAGCAGTTGATTTTAATTATTAATTTACAATTATTTCCATGGTAACTGAGGTATACATTTGCAGTACCCAGCACTATTAAATGTAGTAATGATTTTGAAGATTCTGTTAATAGACTAGGCTAAACATATTGTCATGTCCTTTCATTTCAAAGCAACTTTAAAGTTTAAAGTTGAGAATGTATTTATTAAACTGCACTGTAAACAATATCTTCTCTGTATATTCATGTATTTGTTATGATGAAAATAAACATGTGGAACTGTTGCACATGTGCATGTGTGTTCTTACAGATGTTGTGTCAGTGAGAGGCAGTGTGTCAAAGTGACAACACACCCTTATCTTTTCCTTTACCCCTTCATTACAGCCTCTCGCTAAACACAAAGGGAGACCTTGTGGTTAACAACTGTGTCTTCTAGTATTTTAGACAAAGATGGTAAACATTTGACAGGAAACACAGAGTTCATATATTATTTTTTATTTTAAATGATGAATTGTTAGATAAAAGCACAATGCTCCATTCTGAAGGTAGAGGTCCTCAAATGAAGTGTTCTTCATGAAGCAAAGCAAAATCGAGCACAGAACTGCATAGATAATATCTTTAAATAGTCTCAATATATTCTGAGGCACAAAAATGCAATGCACCATGGGACTTATATTTGTATATCTTTGATGCCAACTCAAAATGTAGCATAAAAACGGTAAAGTTGAACAGATAGCATGTGCCACAGAACCCGTGTTAAGCTTTGCAGACACACTGCAGTGTTAACTATTTACAAATACTGCCCTCCTCTGGTTAGGACAGGGAATCTCAATTCTCTGAGACACGGCGTGCTCGCAGTGAGCAGTGTTCTTTGTTTGCGACAATGTATCATAAAATCTATCAGTTTGAGCTGTAAAGGTGTTTCCCGCCACAAAGAAAATGAACTGCAATGACAAAAGACCCTCAAAGTGCACACAATCTGGATTTGTTATTTTAGTGCTGCATGTGTCTGCTGTGCAAGCATTTAGGGACTGTGGGGAAATGATCTGGGTGGAAACATAATGCCTTCTTCAGCATTTTTGATATTTTTGAAAGACCTTCTACTTGACTAGGAGAAATTTGCAACACCCTCCCCAAAATATATCAAAGTAATATAATTACAATTAATTAACACATAACACAATATTGTCTTCTGTTTTTTGAATATTCTAACCATTATTTATTTCAAACCTAAAACTGTCTCTGTAGGGATTGGGAACCGCGGTGCATTCAAGGGGTGTCACGGCCATCTTGGGAGGATAACATCTATAGCAACTTTAGCAAGCCGTCAATAGCTTTCAACTGTTTTGAATAAAGTATGCGCAAAATACAAATGCCCTTACAAATGAGCTTTCGGCAGAAACAGAGGAGCGCTAATCATAAAATAAATGTGGTTAATTATTGACATCTGTATACTTATGAAGAGAAGAATGGACTGATCACTGTTACTAGTGCCTACACCCATCTGCAATTTAAACATATTTCATATAAGTCAAGTTAAATAGGTGGATACAAGACCTTCAAATCTACAGTTTTAATGACAACTATAAAATCATCTGGACAGAGGTAAGAGTGCTAATGTTAGGCTAACTGAGTGCTGATAAAACGTTGGCTAATCATGCATGTTAAAATACCAGTATATTTTTGTAAACTGCAGCATTTATGATTAAAATCGTATCGATCTGTTGTTTTGTCTGTCTGTCTTTTGTTTTGTTATGTTTGTTTTTGCCCTATTATTTGTAAAGCGACCTTGGGTCCCTTGAAAGGCGCTATATAAATCCAAGCTATTATTATTATTATTATTATTATCCCCGGTGAAGTGGTTTGTGTTACTGTATTTGAGCAATTCTCAACACTTCGACAATTCTCAAACAGTCAGCAGATGGGTCCCATTCAACACATTCAGCGTTCCTTGCTGATGTTCGCTATGTCATCCTCCTTTTAATTTAGCTATAAAAGTATAAAATGTAATCCCATGGTTTGTCATGAGAGTTGTTTATTTACAGCCAATGACATAACAGTGCCTCCAGACCATGTTTAAAAGGTTTGAAGTGAAAGAGTTATGCTATACTCCGCTCGCCGTACAGATTAAGTCCATTGTTTACTTTTGCTGGTATCCTTCAAAGATGGCCGAATTGCCGTTGATGACATCACATTCATATTCACTATGACTTTATATGGCACATTACCCTATATTTATATGCTTTCCATGGAGATTTAGATTTAAGTGAAAGGGGGACTTGCTATTGGATAGTGAAACATTTATAATCAATTGCTAAAAAATACCCTCCACTAATATTTTCATAGAAATGTTCATACAGTCCCTAAAATAAAAATAAAAAAATAAATCTACCTTTACGTCACAGCAGGTCATAGTCTGTGACTTCACACACGAAGAATGAAATGCAGTAAAGCAGTCATATGATATATAATCTATTTTGTACAGTGAGTGACCTCATACTGAGCAATGACAGTAATAAGAGGCTTTTTTGTCAACTAGAATGATAACAAAGATATCTGATTCATATATTAAATTGCTATCCTCTGTAAGGGAGTGAATTAAGGTCCAAGGTTTTTTTATTTAGTTTTCTAACACTCTAAACATGGGCCAGCACAAAAGCCTGATGCATAATGCTAATCCTGCAACATTTGATTAGAGAAATCTGAGTCAGTATTGAAGCGAAAATCAATGAATGTTGTCTTTTGAAATATATATTAAGCATGGCAATGGGAGGTTTTATCCCAGGTGTCACTGTAATGTCTGTAACGTCAACATAACCCGTGGTACAACATAGCAGTGTTGATGTGGCAGAGCGGTCACTGTGTGATGGTGGGGATGCTGCGAGACCTCTTCATGATCAGACACACCTCCACGTCGGGCAGGCTGTCCTGTTTTGGTCTGCAGCCTTCGTTGGCCGCGGCCATGTGCAGGTCGAAGCGCAGCGACACAGACTTCCTGCGCAGCTTGGGATTCCCTCTGAAGAAAGAGCCCTCCCACTGCTTTATCACTTTGTCAATCTTCTCTGTCCTGGTAGGAAAGACGTTATTAGGAATTAAGAAAAACATGATAAATATTCATATAATAAGTATTCACCCAATGCACGGACACTAAGAATACCAAGTTAGAAAAAGTGCTCTATCGTGTTCATGTGTCATACATTGGTAAGATCAATACTAAATAGTAAACATACTCGAAAAGTAAAAGTACTCATAATGCGTTTTGGCCAAATACGGAATCATATATTAAATTACTGGATTAGGATTATTGATATGTTTATCGCATGCTGGTGGATCTAATTTGAATTATTTAGTAAATACTTCTGATGGATATTTTAACCTATGGTTACATGTTAATGTTTATTTATTAGTTAATATATATTTTGTATAAGCTTATAATATGAATTTGTAAACTAATTAGTAAATAAGGCTGACAAATAAATAAAGTGGAGTAAAAAGCAGAATTATGAAAAACTCAGGTTAAGTAAAATCAACTCAAAATAGAATGCAGTAGTTTAGCAATGCACCTTGTTACATTTATCCACTTCAACATTTTTTCTGAAACGTTTATAACGTATATGTCTATATAAATGTGTTTAAAAATATTTTTGTGTGTGGATGTCAACAGCTGGAGGTCTCTTTATTAATTTATGCTATTATTTTGTGTGATGTAATTCCATATTGAATGTCACTGTATGACATCCATAGGAAATCAGGAATGATCCATGGGGCTGTGCAGGAACACCAGAGGGCAGCAAGAGAGAACACTTGGATAGGACCTGGTGTGAGAAACCGAAAAGTAGCTGCAGCTGTGATGAGCTTGTTAGCAAACACTCGCTAATATTTGCATATTCAGATGTCTAATTTTTTAAGTTCAGAATTGGAGGACATTATCTGTCCCACCTATGACATTTCCAATTAATCCATGCCCAAAATGCTAAAACTGGACTAAATGTATTTGTCCTTAGACACAATGTAAATAAAGTTGTAGAAAAAGTAGTTTCGAAAATATACTTTATAATATCAAACAGCTCTCGAGCCCCCCCTAGAATGGCATTTTTCTCTGGTCCTTCATTCCTGGAGACCAACTACATGTCAAATATAACATTAAGAAACCGGCTTTTCATTTACTTGTTTTGCTATTTTTTTTTGTACATACGTCTCTTGTAATGGTCAACCATAAACATATTTGAAAAGAGGGTACTTTCATACTTAAAGTGTGTCCCACAGCATGGGCACAACCCTGTTGCCCAAAGCTCGGCAGAGGAAGTGAAAAAACTGTTAGTGACACAAAGGAAATGACATCACCATGGGTGTTGGTGGCGGAGTCCATAGGGAATTGGCTTGGGAACCAAGTCTCCAAAAGACCAAATGCTACCGAGGTGTCCCTGAGTAAGGCACTACATACTTTATATGTAGTTACACTAAGAAGGCGCGCCCCCAAATGAGAGATGCATTGAGCACATTTTTGAGTGCATGGCTCCCAGCTAAACGCAAATCAGAGGATGAATCTTCACAAAATGTTCAATAACCCACTCTTAAATGAGGCAGACAGGCAAGCTCTTCTGTGGAGTCTGTTGTATTTATTGGCAACTTTGTTATACAGCTAACTTTATAGACAGACTTATCACTGCTGCTACTCCCGTTCACTTACTGACACATACTACGCTCGCTCACTCTCAATCGCTCTACACATGCAACCGCCACACATGTATTCCCCCTCTCTCTCTTAAAAGGATTGGCAACCTTACTCTGCATGACCCTACTATTATAACACACTGGTTGCATTTTGGACTGGAGTGGAGAAGGATTACCCACTGCTAGGTAGGAGAGCCACGGCCACACTCCTTCCTTTTGCCACATCCTACCTATGTTTTTCTGCTGTGGCCTCTATAAAAACAGGGAGCTTAGGGAGCTGGTTAAGTTTGAAAATATGTTGAAAGCAGAAATGTTGTTACACAGTAAAAGATACATAGTATTACACAGTTAGACCTAATTATTATAAGTCGGGCTCACAAATATTCTTATCTTCAAAAGGGGGATCGTGCAAAATAAGTTTTGGAACCACTGCTTAGTGGGAACAGGGCCGTTTCTAGCTGTTCGGGGGCCCTATGCAAGATGCTGTTTGGGGGCCCTATGCAAGATGCTGTTTGGGGGCCCTATGCAAGATGCTGTTTGGGGGCCCTATGCAAGATGCTGTTTGGGGGCCCTAGTCTTTACAGTTTTTTAACTACAAAGGGGGAATTCCGAAGCCTTTAAGATGATCTGTGGAGACGCATCAATCTGTTACACTTTAAGAGGAAAACAGGCTAATTTCACGAAAACCAAGCAATTGAAACTTACAACAAATTATATTAAAAAGGTAAACAATAAGGCTCCTCTATGTCAATAAATGCAAGAGATGCAGCATTTTCTCAATAATGTGTTAGCCCAACGATGATTTGGACTTTATTACCCCAAAAACACAAGCCACAGCTTTGCTATCATTGCAGTTTAGTTGTTTTTATATCCTACATTTGATTTTTAAGCGTATAATGCTTCACTGAACACAGGAGGGGGCTTGGCTGTCTACAAATAACGACAGCTCATTTTAATTCTCCCCAAATATATTGAGGCTGAACCTGAACTTTCAGCATGGGGGCCCCCTAGTGGCCGCAGGGGGCCCATGCATCTGCATAGTCCGCCTATAGGAAGAAACGGCCCTGAGTGGGAAGAGGAAGAACTCCTTCAGTGCCAGGAAAAGTTCACCAACAACCTGGCCGAGAAACAACAGAGCTGGGAGATTGAAAAACAACAGATGAAGACGATGTTGAATGGAGTGGCGGACGAGAAAAAGGACCAGGCCGGTAGGAACCACATCTTGGAGACGGCAAAACAGAAGATGGAGATGAAATTGAAAGAGGAGACGAAGCACAACAATTACCAAACCCGTACAAACAAAACCTTGGAGAAGGAAGTCCAACAGTTGGAGGACCAGTTGAAAAAGCAGGGTGAAAAGTTCACAAAAGACCTGGCCGGAAGAAATGACACCTTGGAGAGTGAAAAACAACAGATGGAGACTACATTAAAAGAGGCAGAGAAGGAGAAAGATGACCAGGCCAGTAAAAACATCATCTTGGAGAGGGAAAAACAAGAGATGGAGATTAAATTGAAAGGTGTGACAAAGCACAAAAATTACCAGGCCCGTAAAAACAAAACCTTGGAGAGGGAAGTCAAACATTTGGATGACCAGTTGAAAAAGGAGGGTGAAAAGTTCTCAGAAGACCTGGCCGAAAGAAACCGCATCTGGGAGAGTGAAAAACAACAGATGGAGACACAATTCAAAGAGGTGGAGAAGGAGAAAGATGACCTGGCCCAGAAAAACCTCCGCTGCGAGACTGAGCTAAAAAAGGTGGAGATCAAATTGAAACAGGTGACGAACAAGAAAAATCACGAGGCCAGGAAAAACCAAACCTTGGAGACAGAAGTCCAAGAGTTGAAAGACGAGAGGAGGGAGACAGAGGAAAGGTTCTCCAGAGACCTGGCTCAGAAACAGCTGAGCTGGGAGGCGAAGGACAACAAGATGGAGGATGAAGAGGAACTTCTGGAGGACCTCTCTCTGAACATGGATTACCAGAGGAGAGGTTTCTTGTTTCGTAGGAGGGAGACAGAGAGGGACGTGGACTTGCAGAGGATGCAAAGCAAGAGGCAAGAGAAGCAGGTGAGAGGGAAGGCAAAGAGGGAGTAAGCTGAGGCGGGAAACGACGGGGGAGGAAGCGGCTGGTGCTTCAGCTCAGGCTGGACAACAGTAGTTCCCTCTACCTCCCCCCTTCCCCTCTCCCTCTTTCTCCCGATCCTTCCGCCCCCCCACGTCCTTCCTCACTCTCCTCCCCTTTACCTCATTTAGGGTTTCTTCCTGGATTTCAGGTTTTCCCGCAATCCATATTCATAATGGAATTAGAAAAAAATGTCACCATTTACCTCCGCTCCTTCCTCCAGCCTCCATTTACCTCACCTACTTCTTCCCCCTCTCTCCCTTCTCCACCCTCAACTGTCCTCTCCATGTCCCTCACCTCTTTCTTCCTACCTAACACCCCCCCTCTCCCTTCCCCATTTCTCATTTACGGTTTTCTCCTGGAACATATAATTAGATTTACGATTATGCTAAAATATATTTAAAAAAATGTACGTGTGTGTTTCATTGCGTAAGATATACAGTATACGTATGACATGCTGGTTACTAAAATACTAGTGTTCATTCAATGCATGTTTTAATCAACACTGGATTTAATTAATAAAACAGCCCATGGTATGAGATTGAAGATACAGATAGTTCTTGGTGTTTTTATATTTGTCTCATTTGTCTAAATGTGTTCATTTTATATGAGTTAATAGAATATTCTGGGACTCCTCAAAACGTTGAACTTCAACAATGAAAATGTAATTTTATTGACAGAAACATGGTGTCAAAATGATCTACCCACTCACCTCAATAGAGAAAAAGAACAAAAAACAAGAGGAAATTGAGATATGCCATATGTGATGTGCTTGTAATTAAACACAAACATTTGAAACCTCACTTAAGTAAACATGTATAATTATTATCTGCAAAAAGTAGGTCAAATCCTAAATAGCTATTTAATGGATTATGATTAAGTTTTGTACTTTCACAAATTCATGGTTCCCAGAGGATGGATCAGCACTCATCTAAGATGATGGCGAAGATGGTAAACAACATACCTCCTAAACATCAGCATAATAGAATTGTCATAATAAGCATTTTATCATCTAGCTCAAATCAGACCTGTGATCAGAATTTGAGTATGGCCTGACAGAGCCACTAGTGTGATGTGTTTACATGAATCATATTGACCCAACTTTAATAACCAGATTCACTCACTAATCTGTGAGGATCTTTGGCAGAAAACAGTAAACGTCTTATAACTTTAAAAAGGGCCCTATTATGCTCATTTTCCGGTTTCATATTTGTATTTTGTGCTTCTACTGTGACATGTTAACATACTTTAATGTCCCAAAAGGTCTCTATTTGTCTCATACTGCCGGTAAGCAATTTGCAAATCATGTGAAAGCGGCTTTAGGTCGGCATTCACAAAACAAGAAAAAGTATAGGATTAAGAATGAATTTAATGTCAATCAAATGACAGAGTGACTTGCGATGTGTTGATACAGCCAAGTATTCTAGCTGAGAGATTTGCCTGTGTGTAGCTTTTATTTTGACAGCATGTGTATTTGTGTGCTACTCTTGGATGCCTACATGGGGCTGGTTTCATCTGAAGCATGACTAAAGGATTCCGCCCAATGTCTGGGCCAACAACATCAGGTGCCACACCCTGAAGACTCCACACCAGGCCAGTATCTCCACATCAAACGCAAGCCATTAATAAAGGAAAATTCCCATGCAGTGCTATGATGAATCAGTCATGGGAACTTGTGCAGCCGACTTAATGTTTTATGCCTCGTAACTTGCTCGACATGGAATGGTAATTATTTTCAGAGCTTGAATATCTTGTCTGCTGGGCCAGACGTCACCTGGGTGGGGAGGACACCTGTTCACCTCTCAGGTTTTTACTTGCTGAGTCAAAACCTGAGGTTAGAAGGCTTCGGGAGATTAAGCAAGCAAGAAACCATTTTGTTACGTATGAAGAAGGTATTTATCTGGGTAATGTAGAGCAGAGTCCTCTAAAGGATTGCTGTTACTTGAAAATGCCCACATGTCCAAATGAACAAAAGGTGCTGACTGCAGGTCAATGTTGGCCAAAAAGATCAATACTCACTCGATGGTGCCGTGTCCCTCTGCACTCTCCCGCACCACATTGCCCTGAAGAATCTCCTGAGTCTTCACAGTGGAGATTGGCAAGTCTTTATCTTGCTCTGGGTCTGTGAGAAGACATTAAAGAGGACATATTCTGCTCATTTTCAGGTTCATATCAGTATTTAGTGTCTCTATTGTGACATGTCTCCATGCTTTAATGTTCAAAAAGCTCCTTATTTTTCTCATCCTGCCTGTGCAGCAGCACCTCTTAAGATAAGATATACTTTATTGATCGCAAATTGAGAAATGTTTTCGTCAAAGCAGCATGTTAAAACAAGGAGTTGCACATAATTTGAAAAATAAGAGTAGCAAATAAACAAACATAAAATATGTATTTTATATCTCAAAATAGAAAATAAAACAGTAACTAAACTAAAAAGTAAAATATATACAAGTTGACCGTGATAGATATAAATCTGTAGAATATCTGTCAGATAAACTCCCGTCGGGTAAACTCCCGTATTATATCTGCTCTCTGATAACACAGAGAGTTGCAAGCAGCTATTGTCTGAGATCGCATGATGTAGTATTGTTAGATGTGCCAAGAGCAAGGACTGTCTTAGGTAAGACAGCTTTTATGTGCGCAGCTCCACTTGCTTGGAACAATCTTCAGCAATAATTGAAACTGAGCAATCTCATTCCTCTGCATGTTGTTAAAGCTAGGCTAAATGAAATGCTCGTTGATACTATGGGTACTTGTAAATGTCTATAACTATGTAAATGTATCCTGTAAATATAATGTATGATGTCCTTTATTGTTTTATGTTTCAGGTCTCCCTTGAAAAAGAAATCTCTGATCTCAATGGGACCAATCTGGTTAAATAAAGGTTTGAAATGAGATAAACACTGAAAACTGCCAAATTACAGTTAACATTTAACAGTAAGAAACCAGAGCCCAGTCTGCTCTGATTGGTTAGCTGGCCACCTCTGTTGTGATTGGTCAACCCCTTATGCCCCTTTCACACCAAAGAGGTTCCCTGCTTGCGCTTTTCTGGTTCGGAACCGGTTTTTCTTTTCAGCCCCCGTTTTGTTCACACCGCCCAGAGCCCGAGTGGTGCTGCCGCGGCTGCGTCATGACGTCACCATTTACGTTGCTGATTTTCTCCGCAACAGCGCTCACAACAACAACAATGGTGGACTGCGTCGGGTCGATGATCGTGTTGCTTTTAATCATACGAAGCCAGATTAAATTAAATAACGACTTCTCCAACCTTATACTTTTCTCCAGAGTGCCGTGGTTCATTGTTTATTAATGTGTTTCAGCGGCATTTACCGACCGCTGCAGTGCTGCCCGCTGTTTCTTTGGTATACAATGGGTGATGTTAGCATAGCAACCGAAGCTAAACTGACTATCTTGACTACTTGTTGCTATCCTATTGTGGCATAAGCCGTTTTCTACAGGCACATTTTACCGGCGTATTTTTCTTGTGATAGTCGGACATGACAACCTGTGCAGCCCATGTATTGATTCCATCCGATAGCTGCTATAATACAAAACAAAACGTCTGCCTGCTCTCCACAATGATCAATAACAGCGAACGGATGGTCAAAGTAAGGTACAAATAAACAGAATCACACGAAGCCTGGTTAGTGTTGCCTGACTTTATAAAGTGTGTTTTTTTTACAAGTGTGTGGTTGTGTTCTAGTTACTTTGCTCAGCACTACTGCTTGTTACAACTTTTATTTTCCGTACTCGCCATAAACTGTTATTGCTCAGGTTGATCCCGCCCCTGCCCCCCCCCCTCCGACGTAAGCGTGACGTATGCGGTTCTTGCTTCTAGACTGACAATTTTTTCGAGCTTGGTAAGAACCGGTTTTCGGGGGAAAAGAGCCGGCTCCACTGCGGTGTGAACAGGAAAAACCGCTGCTTATCAGGCTCTAGCTCCGAACCGGCCCTGGAACCGTGTTAGTGTGAAAGGGGCATTAGAGCTGTGTAGGAAATGTCCTGCCCTTAGTGTAGAGTGTTATATAGTGCTGTCACTATGTTACTGAAGTAAACAAAAGGAGTCCAATGGAGAGTGTGGGAGAGAAACTCCCTCTGGAGGAACACAGGGATTTTAGCCTTTACCGACCATTTACGCACTCATGCACCAAAAACACACTACAGGAAAGGAAAAACCTCAAAAAGTACAATAGGGCCCCTTTAATGACAAATTAATAACAATAATAAGATGGTGTGTTTGTGTGTTACCTGTAAGAATCAAAAGGCTTTGCTGTCTTCGCAGTATGCTTTTCTTTTGTCCACTCTCTGCAGGGAGGAGTGAAGGTATTTCAGGGAGGGGCTCGGACTTGGGTTCGTCGGGAGTAACAGCCGGGTCACTGAAGCCATTCTCTAGCCCTAGCTCCTTAGGTTCCTCCATGGAAAACCTCCAGGGACGCAGACCCATTGGCTGCCCATTTTGGCCCATGTGCCTGCTGGCAGGAGGACAGACTACAGAGTAATGACAACCAAACACGCCTTTTTCTACCTGAAAACATAGCACATCATCGGACATTCCCAAATCAAAAGCCCTGGGTAAACGGTGAGGTGCGCGGCAAACTGAAAGCGCGCACTCTCGCGCACACAGCGGGAGATTTGGAGGAGTACAGGAAGTCTAGGTATGATCTCCGGAGAGCAATAAAAAATGCAAAGAGACAGTACAAAGAGAAGGTGGAATCTGACTTCAAAGGCTGTAACACTAGGAATATGTGGGCGGGACAAAGGACAATGACTGACTACAAAGGAGCAGCGGGGGGTGCTGCGGGAGTGTCTGCGTGCGCATCTCTCCCAGATGAGCTAAACAGTTTTTTTGCACGCTTTGAGAGCAGCCAGGCTGTGGAGGTACAGAGGGACCAGGAGCTACACTGCCCTTTTGTTTTAAATAGGGCAGATGTGTGTAAATCCTTTAAAAGGGTTAACCCACACAAGGCTCCTGGACCTGATGGCATCCCTGGCCGTGTTCTCAGGGTGTGTGCAGTTCAGCTGGCAGAGGTGTTCACAGACATCTTCAACAGGTCCCTGCTGCAGTCTGTAGTCCCCACATGTCTTAAACACTCCACCATCATTCCTGTCCCCAAAAAGACAATCATCACCTGCCCCAACGACTACCGCCCAGTAGCACTCACCTCCATCATAATGAAGTGCTTTGAGCGGTTAGTCAAATTATTCATCACCTCCTCCCTCCCTGAATCTCTGGACCCCCTGCAGTTTGCCTACAGAGCAAACAGGTCCACAGACGACGCCATAGCCCTCACCCTCCACACTGCCCTCTCACACCTGGACCCGAAGAAGAGGAACACATATGTGAGAATGCTGTTCATTGACTACAGTTCAGCATTCAACACCATTGTGCCCTCCAAGCTGGCCATCAAGCTCAGAGACCTCGGACTCAACAGCGCCCTCTGCGACTGGATCCTGAACTTCCTGACGGGCAGACCCCAGGCAGTGCGGGTGGGAAATATCACATCCTCCACCCTGATTCTCAACACCGGTGCCCCTCAAGGCTGCGTGCTCAGCCCTCTCCTCTACTCCCTGTTCACCCACGACTGCGTGGCCACACACAGCTCCAACACCATCGTGAAGTTTGCTGATGACACGACCGTCATCGGCCAGATCACAGACGATGACGAGACGGCATACAGAGAGGAGGTCGAAAACCTGACATCTTGGTGCCAGGAGAACAACCTCCATCTCAACATCAGCAAAACAAAGGAGCTGATTGTGGACTACAGGAAGCAGCAGGGAGAGGGACACGCCCCCATCGCCATCAATGGGACTACGGTGGAGAGAGTCAAAAGCTTCAGGTTCCTTGGGGTCCACATCACTGAGGACCTGACATGGTCTCTTCACACCACCACCATCACTAAGAAAGCTCGACAGCGGCTCTTCTTCCTCCGCAGGTTGAGGAGGTTCAAAATGGATTCCAGGATACTCTGCAACTTCTACAGGTGCACGATAGAAAGTATCCTCACTGGCAGCATGACGGCCTGGTACGGCAGCTGCACCGACCTCGATCGTAAGGCTTTACAGAGGGTGGTGAAAACTGCACAGCACATCACCAGGACGGAGCTGCCATCCATGGAGGACCTTTACTCCCAGCGGCTCAGGAAGAAATCACTACGGATTATCAAAGACCCCCATCACCCCAGCCACAAACTGTTCTTTCTGTTGCCGTCTGGCAGACGTTACCGCAGCATCCTGGCAAGGACAAGAAGATTCGGAGACAGTTTCTTCCCGCGGGCAGTGAGACTGTTAAAAGATTGAACTGTTGAAACAACTTCAAACATTCAACTGCTACTCAGTAGTATGTATCTAATACCTAATATATATATATCATTCCAATAACTTGTATATAGACTCATACTGCACTATTCCACATCATAACTTTATTTCATTTTTATAACTATTATTATTTTTGTATTGCTCTTGCTCTTATTGTTATTATGTTATGTTATTATGTTGCATTGTTGGAGAAGCCTGTGACATAAGATTTTCAACTGCATAATTACTCTGTAGCTATGTCAGATTGACAATAAAGAACCTTGAACCTTGAACATCTTAACTAGGGATGGGTATCATCACCTGCCTGTGTGACACAGAGTCCAACCCGATTAGGAGAGGGCTCATTGCTAACCTGATGTGCGATGATAAAATGTTATGTCAACTTGCGTGTGAATTGCTCAAACCACATGATTGCAAACTAACATTATCCATAATAATAATGGAACGGCAAGAGGTGTAGGTGGAAGAGCCCTCTAGTGATGATGGCTTGAAAGAAAATAATAGAAAGTTGACTCACAAAAATAAACACGATCCAAAGTGATGAACAAGTTCTTAAACAGTAACAAGCCGTTTACCCCTTTTTCCAGTCTTAAGACTAATCTTAAAACTGCATACACGTGTTACGTGATAAAACGACTTTGTGCTGGCGTTGCGTTTCTATGGAGAAAGCACTGCCCCCCGACTAGGCTGTAGCACTATACATGGCATCGCACATCTTTGAAATTGAAGCCGAGCATTGCGCTTAAAAAAGGTTAAATTATTTCAACTTTGACCTTGTTTACCGCTGACCTTCAAACGCGCAACCAATCAGATGACAGCTGTATTTAATGACGCAAGCTAGCAGGGAGTTTTTTTATTTTTTTTTACCTTAGTCATTTACAAACCTTTAAAGGTAGGGTAGGTAATTCACTTCAGAAACACGTTTTGTTATATTCCATGGAATGCTCTTAACATCCCGATAGCAATGAATATATTAAATGCTTTGACAATAAATACATAAATTCATCTGTTGATGCCGTAGTACTGTAAAAAGCACGACCAATCATCTGAGCCGGCCCGGCTAAAATAACTGGATGGCCTACCTGCCTGTCAGCCTTCCATCTGTGCACACACTTATCTCGTGCCCTCATTGGTCATGTCCGTGTGTGTTGGAGGAGGGGCTCTCTAAGGAAGTCTGAAGGAAGGGGCAGATTTTTTTCGGCTGCGTACTTTCAAATTCTAGCGCACTCGAGCTGGTTTCTCCATTCTTACCTACCCTACCTTTAAGGCATTTCATTTCAGTCAATAACATTGAAGGTGCAAATGCAGTATGGATAAAATAGTACAGTTTACATCTTACAAATTAAAAATAGAAACAAATTAGAGAGAAAAGTCTCTGGGCGTTTCTTTTTTTTATGTAATGAAGTAATTTTGCTAAAATGTTAAGTTAGCTGACAGGGGAGATAAACATAGAACAAAAATACTTTTGGTCAGTCTTAGGTCAGTCAGGTAAGTTTATTTTAAAGTAAATTGTGTTTCAAAGACAAATATACGCTGTTACCCCGACCCAATGAAGTTATTTTCATTGCTAACCGCCATGACAACAAGTAAAAAAGTGTAAAATAGGAATCAAACCTCATTCACCCAGACAAACAATGGATGGTTAAAGAAAATAAGATAAAAGTATTGTGCCTTTCAGTCTCATGTTTTGTGCTTTTTTTTGCAGACCTGCCCTTTCCAGAAGCCTTTGAGGTTTTATTTGAGCAGATGCTTCAGTAAGAAAGAGATGTTTTTACCGTATGAGGATCATCTCATCTCTTATTTTCTTGTCACACAGCCCTTTGTGTTAACCACCCTTTTCAAATATGAACTAACAATGCAGATTTCAAATGCCACTTCCTATCTCTACTTGCATTAATAACAAAAGCTTCTGCTATATAAAGAAATGAGAAGAGTCAAAGGCACCTTCTTCAAACTATAAAATAACAGTAATAACAGTAACATGATTGGAACAGCCAAAGTGTTGATTCCAAAGGTGCTGCAAGATGTCTACTATCATTGGCCAAGCAATGAGAATGGAATATTCCATGGTAAAACAGTATGACGCTGGCAGGGAATAAGATATGAGACCAGAGAAAGATGGGTTGACTATCTGGATTTTGAATACAGGTAGAGCTTCAGTTAAATGCTTTCAATCACTGATGTGATGTTATATGATTATGCATCATTTTTGCTTCAGTCAGGCGACCCTCCCCCGACCCATTCCCCCCTGCACAGCGCTGTCCTGGTTCACATCCTACCTCCATAACAGGAAACAGTTTGTCTCCATCAATGGCTCAAATTCACCCCCGGCCCCAGTCCACCACGGTGTACCCCAGGGCTCTGTGCTTGGCCCCCTCCTGTTCACCATTTACATGCTCCCCCTCGGCCAGATCATCCGACATCATGGACTCAATTTCCACTGTTACGCTGATGATACCCAACTGTATCTCAGCACCACTCCATCCTCCCAGCTCCCCCCTCAGTCTCTCATCAACTGCCTGCATGACATCAAAGCATGGATGTCTTCCAACTACCTCAAACTAAACAGCAAGAAAACAGAGCTCATGGTTGTGGCACCCAAGGCGCTGCTCCAGAAGGTTGGTGACTTCATCCTCGAGGTCGACGGCTGCTCCATCTCCCCATCTCCTGAAGCCCGCAACCTGGGTGTTATCCTCGACTCCACCCTTTCCTTCCACTCCCACGTCAAGTCTGTGACCAAATCGGCCTTTTTCCACCTAAGGAACATTGACAGACTCCGACTGTCACTCTCGGAGTCGGTTGCCGAAACCCTAGTTCATGCGTTTGTCACCTCCCGCTTGGACTACTGCAAGGTGTCCTGTTTGGGGTTCCCAACAAAACCCTGGACAGGCTCCAGTATGTCCAAAACTGTGCTGCTAGGGTACTCACAAATACAAAGCCGTGGCAGCACATCACTCCCACCCTCATCCACCTCCACTGGTTGCCGGTCAAATCCCGCATATTGTACAAAGTACTCCTCCCTACCTACAAGTCCCTCCATGCCCTTGCCCCCCAGTACCTATCGGACATCCTCCACCCACATGCCCCACCCCGGAACCTGCGGTCTTCAGACTCTGGCCTGCTTACCACCCCCCGCACCAAACTGCGAACCTTCGGGGACAGAGCCTTCAGTGTGGCAGCTCCCACCCTCTGGAACGCTCTCCCTGCGGAGATCCGCAACATCCCCACACTTGACGCCTTCAAAAGGGCCCTCAAGACCCATCTGTTTACTAAGGCATTTGGCCCCTAAATCTATCTGTTGTTTTGTCTGTCTGACTGGTTGTCTGACTGCCTTTTGTTTTGTTATGTTTGTTTCTGCCCTATTCTTCTTTGTTAAGCGACCTTGGGTCCCATGAAAGGCGCTATATAAATCCAAGCTATTATTATTATTTATTATTGCTGCACCCCCCATTGTTTCCACTGCCTGGAAATGGCCCTGTCACCTCTCCCACCTCCAATCAGCCCCCGACCATCAGCCCACATGCCCCTTTCACACCAGCGCGGTTCCCGTTCTAGCTCCGTGCTAGAGCTTTTCTGGTTCGGAACCGGTTTTTATTTTCAGCCCCCGTTTTGTTCACACCTCCCAGAGCCCGACTGGTGCTGCCGCTGCTGCGTCATGACGTCACCGTTTACGTCGCTGATTTTCTCCCCAACGGCGTTACGACGCTCACTACAACAACAACAATGGGGGACTGCGTCGGGTCGATGATCGTGTTGCTTTTAATCATATACGAAGCCAGATTAAATTAAATAACTACTTCTCAACCCTTATACTTTACATTAACATCTCAAAATAGAAAATAAAACAGTAACTAAACTAAAAAGTAAAATATATACAAGTTGACCGTGAAAGATATAAATCTGTAGAATATCTGTCAGATAAACACTGAAAACTGCCAAATTACAGTTAACATTTAAAAGTAAGAAACCAGAGCCCAGTCTGCTCTGATTGGTTAGCTGGCCACCTCTGTTGTGATTGGTCAACCCCTTATGCCCCTTTCACACCAAAGAGGTTCCGTGCTTGCGCTGTTCTGGTTCGGAACTGGTTTTTCTTTTCAGCCCCCGTTTTGTTCACACCGCCCAGAGCCCGAGTGGTGCTGCCGCGGCTGCATCATGACGTCACCGTTTACGTCGCTGATTTTCTCCCCAACAGCGCTCACAACAACAACAATGGTGGACTGCGTCGGGTCGATGATCGTGTTGCTTTTAATCATACGAAGCCAGATTAAATTAAATAACGACTTCTCCAACCTTATACTTTTCTCCAGAGTGCCGTGGTTCATTGTTTATTAATGTGTTTCAGCGGCATTTACCGACCGCTGCAGTGCTACTCTTCCACGGGAGTTTATTCTCCCGTTAGCTCCTGGTTAGCTCACACGGCAGCGGCCGCTGTAAAGTATTCACTGTCTGAGTCTCACACAAGCAGCTGATACATATCTCCAATTTTTTGGTGCTTGAAACGAACCGCATTCCGGAGCTTAGAGGTGGCTCCGCTGCGGTGTGAACAGGAAAAACTGGTGCTTTTCAGGCTCTAGCTCCGAACCGGCCCTGGAACCGCGTTGGTGTGAAAGCCCCAACAGTCACCTTTCACACCAGCTCCTGTTTCTCCTCCCCCCACAACCCCCCTACCACCCGCTGACAACACCTTGTCCCTCACAACCAACCAGGTGAGGAGGGAGCTGCAGAGGTGTAAGGCAGCAGGTCCAGATCGCATCAGCTCGAGGCTCCTCAAATCCTGCACAGACCAGCTGTGTGGGATTGTGGAGTTCCTCTTCAACCTTAGCCTGAAGCAAGGGAGGGTACCTCAACTGGAAGACGTCCTGTGTGGTACCTGTGCCAAAGACCCCTCACCCCAAGGAATTCAACAGCTACCCTGGAGAGGCTGGTCCTTGGACTCCTTCAGATGCCGTCATCTACTTGCTACAGAGGTCCCTCTCCCACCTGGAGAAGGCTGGGGGCTCTGTGAGGATCATGTTCTTTGATTTCTCCAGTGCCTTCAACACCATCCTGCCCCCGCTCCTGGGGGACAAGCTGCAGCTCTCGGGGGTGGATCACCACCTCACCTCCTGGATCCTGGACTACCTCACCAACCATCCACAGTACGTGAGGACCCGGGAGTGTCAATCAGACAATCAGCAGTACGGGGGCCCCCCAGGGGACGGTGCTGGCACCGTTTCTCTTCACCCTCTACACTGCAGACTTCACCCACAACACTGCAACCTGTCACCTGCAGAAGTTCTCTGACGACTCCGCCATCGTTGGACTCATCTCCAACGAGGACGACAGGGAGTACAGGGAGCTGACGCAGGACTTCACCCTCTGGTGCCAGAGGAACCACCTCCAGCTCAACGCAATGAAGACCAAGGAACTGGTGGTGGATTTCAGACGGCGCCAACACTCCCCCCCAACACCAGTGAACATCCAGGGAGCAGACATTGAGATTGTGAAATCCTACAAATACCTGGGTGTTCACCTGAACAATAAACTGGACTGGACTGATAATTCTGCTGCTCTGTACAAGAAGGGACAGAGCAGACTCTTTCTGCTGAGGAGACTGAGGTCTTTCGGGGTGCAGGGGGCACTCCTTCAGACATTTTATGACTCTGTTGTGGCATCAGCCATTTTCTATGGTGTGGCCTGCTGGGGCAGCAGCATCTCGGCTGCTGACAGGAAGAGACTGAACAGACTGATAAGGAAGGCCAGCTCTGTCCTGGGGAGTCCTCTGGACACTGTGGAGGTGGTGGGAGACAGGAGAATGGCAGCCAAGCTGTCCTCCCTGCTGGACAATGTGTCCCCCCCCTCCAGGATCCTGTCCTCACTGTGCAGCTCCTTCAGTGACAGGCTGCTGCACCCCCGCTGTCTCACGGAGAGAGAGAGAGAGAGAGAGAGAGAGAGAGAGATACCGCAGGTCCTTCCTTCCTGCAGCGGTCAGACTATACAACCAGCAAAGCCCCTGGTAGACCCCCCCCCCCACACACACACACACAACAACACAGACTATGCTATAACACCCCTTGTTGTGAAATACCAATTGTGTGCTATGTGCTATATATATGCCGTTAATAGCTGTGCAATATATACCTTGCTGCTATATCTCCAAAACTGTTACATGATTTTGTTTATTTTTTACTTAAGTGGAGAAGTATTTGTCTTACATCAGTTAAGTGTGTGCGTGGGACTTTGCTATTTCATTTTGAAAATGTATGTACTATCTCTTTTCTTTGCACTGATCCTTTTCACAGTTTTTGAAGAGGAAGCTGCTTCATTGTGCAGGGGAAAACCCATTTCAACTGCAGTATTTATTATTTCCTGGTTGACACAAAACCACAAAATTCCCACTGAACTATTCCTTCCGGTTTCCTCCAACATTCCTTGTTCTTCCTCTCTGCCCTCACCTGCCCTCCTCCCGCTCCAGCAGACGTCTGTAAGTGGAGATCTCTCGCTCCAGCCTCATCTTGGTGTTGAGGAGCTCGCTGTGGCGCTGACGCTGGGTGGCGAGGCCGCTCCTCACCTGCTCCAGCTCACTCTCCAGCCCAGCGATCACCTGGGAGAGGTCCTGCAGCTGGCTGGAGTACAGCCGCTGAGTGTTCTGCAGAGAGCTCTCCAGGCCTTTCTCCTGGAAAGCAAGAGGCAGGGAGCTGTCAGGAGAATGACTACTACACGTTACACTCTCTTTGAATTTAAAGAAGCTTGCAGAAACTAATGGGTGTGATGTCAAAGCAGTGTGTGTGTCACGGCTGGAGAGCAGAGCAGAGAGGACCCAAGTGCAGGGCGCCAAAGTAACTTTAAAGAAGAAACCTTTATTGCAAGTTGTCCAGGAAATAAAAGAGCTGGGCAAAGCAAAAAATAACATCAAACATCAAGAATCCCACATCACCTGACAGAAAACCAGAAATGAAATACATGCATGACTTATCACAAGGACAAGACACAGCTGGTCTAAAACACAGAGGCATCAAATAAACACAATCAGGTAATCAAACAGGTGGGGCAATACAGAGACAGGAAGTAAAAACAGACATAACACGAGAGGTGAACACATTCATATCAATTATAAAACAGGAAACACAAACAGATCTTGACAGTGTGTTAGAACTAACTTTTGCATGCAAAACAATGCAGAGATTATTTAAAAATAGTTTTATAAAAAAATTAAATACTGTATGAAGTGATTTTAAAATATAAATTTGAATTAAGATTTTCTTAAATTGTTGTTTTTTTGGCGTAAAATTGGCATGTGACCTATATTTACCCTCTTTAAGAACCAAAATCGATAGGCAACATGGAACCGAAAAACGTTTAAAGGTCACCTATCATGCTATTTTTAGGCAATAGCATAGGTCTCAGATATATAAAAATATATAAAAAACATGTCTATGAAGTGTTTTGATCACCCATTCTAGCCATGCCTCATATCCCTCTATTTCACTTCCTGTTTCAAAAGTGCTGATTTTGGGTATAAAGAAAGAAAGAAAATTGATAAAAAAGAGGGGCGGAGCTTATGCCTGATTCTACCGGCAGATACTGCCGTGATGAAACGCCATATCATGGATTATCAAGGATTATTTCTGAAACAGTATGGAGCTCAAAGGCTTTCTCTCTTGCCGGTTATACCACAAGGTGAGTTCCTTTTTATTTCCTGCTTCTTCACACACATGCTCTCCAGTACAGGTTAGCTCTGAGTGTTAGCGATGCTAATGTAAACACCGACCATATTACGTCCAAAACAGTCGGGCATTGTTTCTGATAGCAACGTTTCTGATAGTGCTGTGGGTCTGCATTGCCGATATGACGTCATATCAGACGCAAATCTGGATCAGCTCCGTTGTACCCCCGTTTTTAGAGATTTGGGTATGGAGGAAAAGAGAGAGGGTTTTATTTTCTGACGCTGCGTGAGTTCCCTGACACACAGGGGACACATATTTATGTATAAAAGACATAAAAAAGTGCATTTTGCATGATAGGTCCCCTTTAAATCCAAATTATACCCAACCCTACTAATAACGAATGTCGGCACATAGTCTAGTAGATATAAATATTAAAACAATTAAAACATAACACGGTCACCATCCCTAAGCCAACTGACTTCCCAGCACCACGTGTTTTTACCGTTTAGCTAAAAGGTGTGCCTAATTACAGTCTGGAGAGACACTTGCCCCTTTCACACCAATGCGGTTCCAGGGCCGGTTCGGAGCTAGAGCTTGATAAACAACGGTTTTTCCTCTTCACGCGGAACCGGCTCTTTTCCCCGAAAACCGGTTCTTACCAAGCTCGAAAAAATGGTCGGTCTAGAAGCAAGAACCACATATGTCACGCTTACGTCGGAGGGGGGCGAGATTAACCTGACCTAACCACACATTTTATGAAGTCAGGCAACACTAACCAGGCTTTGTGTGATTCTGTTTATTTGTAGCTTACTTTGACCATCCGTTCGCTGTTATTGATCATTGTGGAGAGCAGGCAGACGTTTTGTTTTGTATTATATTGTAAAATACGCCGGTAAAATGTGCCTGTAGAAAACGGCTTATGCCACAATAGGATAGCAACAAGTAGTCAAGATAGTCAGTTTAGCTTCGGTTGCTATGCTAACATCATCCATTTTATACAAAAGAAACTTTCATAACAGCGTTGTGATGCCAAACAGCGTCAATTCAGACTGAAACACATTCACTTACGGAGCTTAGACACGGTGGCGTGCGTTGAAGCTTGCCGTTTGGCAAAGCGTGACGTCACCCCATTCAAAGTGAATGGGCAGAAGCGTTGAAGCTTCAACGCACGCCGCCGTGTGTAAGCTCCGTTACGGGGAATTGGGGATATCTATCAGCTGCTTTCGTGCAGTGGCGGCTCCAAAGTATTTTTGTTGGGTAATGTATGGTAGGGCTAACCCATACAGTGGTGGGGCTCAAGTCTGTATTTGCAATGTAATTACATACACGCTATATCGCCCCCCTTGACAGTGAAACGCCATGCGTGAGGTTTAGATTATTTCCCTGTCTCTTTTTCTCAGCAAAATGACATCGAGAGCAACAGATGTGAGTTAAACCAGTGGTTCTCAACTGGTCTGCTTCAGGACCCACTTTTTTCCTTCGTCAATAAATCGCGACCCAAAGATATAATACCCAAAAAAGTGCAGTAATATATGCTTCTCAGCATCCACTTTTAAGTAAAGTGAAGTACAGTGCATACATTTTCAGTAAATGTAGTCCATGGGAATAAACCCACATCCTCAACATTGTTTGTGCCATGCAAGGCAGATGATATCCCTTCACAGAACTACAGTATGCTTTTTAAACAAGTTTAAACTGATGATGGTCATCAAAATTAAACTGTATGAAATAAAGAGGCACATTTGTCTTGTAGTAAATAAAAAGGGCGACCTGGAGCCAATCCTGCAATTTCCCCACAGGTGAAAAAGTTGTCATGCTGAAAACCCAACCCCCGCAGGGGGGTCTGGGGGGATTATCCCCCAGGAGATTTTTTGAAATACTAACATAAAATACACATTCTGGTACTCTCTTGAAAAGAAAAAAAAATTAATCTATTACACGACATACAATATTGAAAAAAAATTAATGCCATTTTTGTGTTTTGTTACTTTGTTCTGAAAGCTGAACCTGCTGCTCCTCACAGAGAGAAGAGGGAAGAGGCTGTGTGAATTACTTTACATTGTGGATAAGGGTGGATAGCCCCCATTGTTCTGTGTGTCAAAATGAAAGACAGCCCACACACCTATCAATCATCAAACCGTGGGGTCTTATTTCATTACGTGTTGATTTCTATCAACACGTAATGTTGTATCCATGGATGTATAAAGAGTCAGCCCAGTCTCACAGCATTTCGTGTTATAGTCACAACATTGGGCCCAGGCCCACCCAGTTTACTCATTGGCCCACCCTGAGAAAGCTTCGGTGTACATTTTAATTTTGTTATTTTGTTATTTTTTTATTATTATTATAAAAAAATGTATTCACCCATTGAGAATATCCAAGCATTCAAAGTGAAATTCAAGTGAACAAATATCGAGTTGAATTAATGTTGTATGTGTTTTATCCTCTGAACCGAACTCATTTACGGTAAAAACTGGTTGTTGGTTCCGGCGCGCGCCATAGTAACGTGAGAGAGGCAGAGAGCTGCCTGCAGGGACGCGCTTTTCTGCAAAATGTGCAGACATTTCCCCAGCCCAGGAGCTGAAGGTGCATTTACGAGGGATAGATATGTAGACTGAAAGCACCTGCGTAACTCGTTGGAAAGACATAAAAAAAAGCCACCGGAGGTCCGGACCTCGGTAATTATTTCCGAGCTGCGTATAAAAAAACTTGTGAAATAACGGCACTAAACGGGGTTCTTTGTAGTACTTCCATTTACTGACAATAGCCGCGTTCACACCGGAGTACTTTTCACCGTACTTTTCGCATTTAGTTCCGTTAGTACCCCTTATGTCGCGTTCACACCAAAAAGAGCACTTAATCCCGGGAACTTTTACCCCCATTTTTAGTGCCTGCTGAGAGATGGTACTTTCCTGGGGGAAAAAAGTGCCCCAGTTCTGATTGGCTGGGCGAATTGCAAACCACACCCCGTAAAACTCTGAAATGTTTTGTAGAGCCGCCATTTTATTATCCTCGCATTAGCATTATTAGCATTAGCATTCGCCCAGCGCACAAACGCAGAGAGACTAACTTATGGCAACACAAAATAAAACATGGGAGCGGTGGAGATGAGGAGGTGTCGGCATTCTGGCGATTTACTCTGAAGGCTTCAGTAGAAGCTGCTGGGAGTCCCAGCAGCTTCTACTGAAGCCAGTCCCCAACTCCGGGGACTTCCGGCCGGGTACTCCGGGTGGCAGTATACGCCGTGAAGTTGTTTGCGGCCTGCCAGTAAACCCAAAGCAGAAGAAGACGAAGTGACGTCAGCGGCTCATTTGCGTAATCTTCCCTCAGGGAATTTATTCCGGTGTGAACGCGATCTGTACTAAATGCCCTGGGGTAATAAGTGCCGGGGCACTGAGTGCCGGGGCACTGAGTACGGCAAAGTACTTGGTGTGAACGCGGCTAATGGGGGCGCTGCATAACTACGTAGCCTCGATTATAGCAAACAGAAGAAGAAGACATGTATCAACAAACCACCGCAGCCCGGACTTGTACCGGAGCAGCGGAGGAGTGATGAGGTATCTAGAGATGTGAGTCCAGTGGGCTGCTTGTGTTTCTGTTCCTCACAGGACATCATATGACCAGCAGATCCAGTGTGAACGCTCTACGTTAGTCAGTGGACGTCTGACAACATGCACACTAACTTATATTGCAGCTATAGGCTATACTTTGGTTGGCATTGCCCTAAAGTACATTTCTGCCTACGCTACTGCCTCGCGGACGGCAACAAAATTATACGATTTAAAATAAAAACAATAATCGTGGCTTGATATTGAGTAAGAACATGTTTTTATGAACCACACAGCTTCCGTTCTTCCAAGACCCGACCGGATCAAAATAAGTGTTGCAGGCACGGAACACACTACCAATAGAAATAGATTGCTTTTATCGTTCGTTCTGTGTGACACGAAAAAAAGGGGAAAATCGTGTTGGTGAACACGAATCAATAGATTAAATGTCGTGACTATAACACAAAATGCCATGAGACTGGGTTGAAAGAGTAGTTCTACCGCAAAATTATTCTCTTTCGGGACTTCAAACAACAACAACACGCCGTAATCGTGATTCTGATTGGCCAGAAGACATTAGCAAATATGTTTTATTGAGAAGACGATCACTACGTGACAAAGGTTTTCAAAACCGTTTCTAGTCTTCGGCATTTCCAGACAAGTGGCTACTGAAATGAATCTTACTAGCTGCTGTCTGTGCAATTTACTCTGCGCGAGTTGGCGGACTTTCTTTTGCTTACTTTGACATCATTTTTCATGGTGGGGCTAAGGTGGAGCTAAGCCATTTCTTGGTATGGCTGTAGCCTACCCCAGCCATACCCTGGCGCCGCCACTGCTTGTGTGACAGTCAGACAGTGAAGACTTTACAGCGGCCGCTGCCGTGAGTTAACGGGAGAATAAACTCCGGTGGACGAGCAGCACTGCAGCGGTCGGTAAATGCCGCTGAACCACATTAATAAACAATGAACCACGGCACTCTGGAGAAAAGTATAAGGTTGGAGAAGTCGTTATTTAATTGAATCTGGCTTCGTATGATTAAAAGTAACACGATCATCGACCCGACGCAGTCCCCCATTGTTGTTGTTGTGAGCGCCGTTGTCAGCGACGTAAACGGTGACGTCATGACGCAGCAGCGGCAGCACCAGCCGGGCTCTGGGAGTGAACAAAACGGAGGCTGAAAAGAAAAACCGGTTCCGAACCAGAAGAGCGCAAGCACGGAGCTAGAACGGGAGCTGCGTTGGCGTGAAAGGGGCAAGTGAGACCTCATTAAGACTGCACGGTTCTAATATACAACATCACCGTACACCTTAGGTCTTATGCTCCATTGAACTTAGCTCAATAAATATATATAGAAAAAGAAAGAGTTGTAATAAGACAATGAAACTCTTCACATTAAAGTGCAAGTTAAAAATAAGAAATACATGATTTACATTTTTTAATATAAAGACAGTAATTGCCAATAAATGTTAACAAGAATGTACCAAACAAGCATAATGATAAGTATATATAAATGAACAAACAGAGGTGTAAGTATAATTATATGAATAGGATATTTTTTATTATTATTTGTCGTTATCATTATTTTCCATTTCTGAAAAATGTACACGTTCTGCCACCTCCCATGGAAGAAGTGTTATCAGTGTGATAGTTGGGACTGGGCCGTGGTGATAAGTGACGATGTGAGTATTCTTACCAAGGCATGCAGGGTCTCAATCTCCACCTGCAGGGAGTGCCACTGCCTCCGGGCCTCGGCCAGCTCGGCCCGGGCCTCCCGCAGGGCGGCGCCGCCGAGGCTCACCTGCGCCCATGCTGCCTCTTCCTGGGTGAGGAGACAGGCATTAAATGAGGAACACAAACCCTAACACCACCACTAACATCTCACCCAAAAACACACACACAGCCTGCTGCACAGTTGGAAATGAAAGATACTTCCAGGCGTGCATAAGTTTAAAACCAAATCCTTTACTTTGGTCGTTCATTCTGTAGCATACAAAAGCACAAGCACATTACTGCACGAGGCTGCATTAACATTCGTTTACATTCTCAACTTACATAACACATAAAATATTAAAAGTCCACTCACAATTAACCCGCTAAACACAAACTGACACCATCTAGCACATACTGTATGCACAACTCACGATACAATTAAAGGTGGTAATTAAGCTAGCAGGTGACGCATGTATCACATTACACGTTCGATAATAAACAGGCAAAACTACGATAAAACAACATATAAATATATTACAAGTATTACCGTTAGTTTCATATACAATATACATTTGTGTCAATACTTTTATACAACTTCTCATCAGCACAGTAGCTTATCTAACGTGTAACGAGCACATCACTGCGCGAGGCTGCATACACTCTGCACTGTCTAATGAGTGATGTCTACTGCGTTTCACCTGAAGGACCCCTGAGCTGGCCTCTGTGCCTGTGTGCGCTTTAATCCCATTAAATGTAACTTCACCTACTAAATATTAAAATTGGCATTGCACATGAATACATCAGAAAACTACAGGTTTATTAAATACAAAAAAATAAAACAACATATAAATAAAGTGCATTTGCAATACAATACAGTTTCATGTCCACTACCAGGCCCAATATTACTGGGTCCCACACAAGGTCAAAAGGGATTCTCCAAATATTTGTTCCACCCCTGCCTCCATAGGTGTGTCCGACGAAATCAGAAACACCACTCCAATGCAGCTAGAAATGTGGAGATACCATTGCTATTGCCGAAAACACACTACAGGAAAGGAAAACCCCCTAAAACCATAATATGGCCTCTTTAAAAGGCCACATCTGAATGGAATGCTAAATAAACGTCAGATATAATAACCAATGGGTTCCCAGATTGCCTTCTGGACAATGCATAACACCTAATTTTATCTCCGAATAGACAGTTAATGTGCATCCAACCATAAATTGCTCAAAAAGTATAGGTTGATACTAACTACTATACTAAACTAACTGACCGAGAACATTTGTTATACCAGGATCTTGTCCTGTTGCCTACAAATGTGAAGAATCTGTTTGTATAGATTAGTAAAATTGTGACACCCCTACGGTAATTTTCAACCTCAAGTGATAACACAAGGAAACTTTTTTTTCTAAAGCTTAATTCCCTTCTCAAAACATACTATTATCAGAGAGCTCTCCTGATTTAACTCTAGAGTTTTAATCTCCTTATATATATGTTTTTATTATCTTTTAAATAGTTTCCTAGCCTTATGATTTTTCTACACTTTATTGGCTTGAAACACCAACTTGTTTTTTTCTTTTTTCTTTTGAACATGATGATTTTTTGTTTGTAATCGTTTTTTGTTTTTTGTATCAATCATTCTTTTGACAGGATTTAAAAAAAGTGCTTTATAAATATAATTAATATTATCAACCGTTCTTTCCCACTGGCAGTCAGACAGGTGGTGCTGTTGGTAGTGTGTTTTCAGCGGAGGTAAACAGACTACAGAGCAGACACCAGGCCTGTGTGTACTCTGTACAGCTGTTAAGAGCTCACACCCTCCTGTAATGCCGTTCAAACGCAGTGAAGCGGAGAAGCTGTCTCAGCGCAGTTATGACAATATTGTGACAGTAAAAAGAAAAGAAAAATAAGTTAAGTTAAATAAGTTATCTCTGTTTAATGTATTAATCCAATGATGCTCAGGTTCTGTTTCAATGCATCAAGCATGTTTTAGTTAAAAGTAAAATGGCAACCACAATTAGGCCAATATGATCCTATCTCCTCCTTATTGATAACTCAAACAAACAAGCAAAGCATTTAATCAGGTACTTACTGAAACTACTTAAAGTAGCAATAATGTAATGTAAAAACAATATGTCGCCCTGAAATGTAATGAAGTAGAAGAGTGAAGCAGCATCTCCTGGAAATAAAGTATAAGAATGTTTAAACTGTAGTGGTGCAGAAACAAGTCCTAAAACCCGGTAATGAGTTAGCATGTTACTACTTTCGGTTCCCTTGTCTCAAAGTCGACCGTTTTTTAATGTGTTTGTTATTAGAAGCCTGAAATATGATCTATGCTTTTCACGTTTTGTTCTACGACATCAAATATGTCAGTAAATACCCCACCCGTAAATGTCAGAAGCTTGTATGTTGCAGACAAACTGCAGTTGACTACATGACACTGCTAAACATCATCACTCAGAACATTACCCGCCTTTAGCTCAGTGCTGGTGATGTGCAGCCATGTGACCCGCAGCCATGTGACCGTGATGTAGTTTGTTAATAGCCTAGAATTCCCTTTTGACCTCTGGGGAATGCATTAAAGCTTCAAAAGCTCATTATTCTGCTGAAGTTGATATTGTACAATTTAAAACCAAGCCCCAAGGAGGCGAGGTAGAAGGAAAATACTATAACTTAATAGTTATACAAACATGATCACCAAACAAACACACTTAGAAACACATTTTGTAAAAAAAAAAGCCAAGGAAAAATGTCTCTAACGTAACTAAGTAATAGTAATAGTAACAAGTAATAAGTAATAAGTAATAAGTAATAGTAACGTAGCAAAGCAATGTAAAGAATGCAATATATCTTGCCAAATGTTTCATGAGGAAGAAACACATTAGAGAACACCAGCGATCTATTCGTACGTTTTGTTAGTGTAAAAAGAACTCCCCAGGGTATCATTTACTCAAACAGGGTCTCTTCAAAATAATGAAGATTTAAAGTACTTTTGTTGTCTGCGTCAGAGTTTTCACTATACAGTAGCTTGCATGCACATTTTGGCATCTTCAATCAAAATCTTCCCACGAAGCAAAGTCTGTTTACTATCATTATATAATATCCAGCAGATGACATGGTATCATGCACAGTACAGCACTTTTTCCTCTGTCAATATCCCCCTGTGATGATTATGGACATCCTGCAGGCTTTTGACTGCAGCGTTGTGTAAGTGGACAGTAAAATAAAGGTCTGATCCAAACCACATCATTTTATGAAACCTGCTTCATTTCAGCACTGTGTTAGCTTGCAGCAGTGAGCCAAGGCACTTTATTGTCGATGTTAGACCAAAGTCATTGTGCTGGTGCACACTGGGATAATAAAAGACTGCCCCTTTTTCTCTGATAAACAAAGAACATTTTGGCCCAATTTTTTTTTTAAACAGTTCCTACTTTAAAATGAAATGCTATCACTAGATGACAATTCTGCATGATAAAGCTCAGATTGTAAATTGCCTCATGAATATTTAATGAAGATCAGGGATCATTTACCCAGTAACTGATCATAACACAACATTGTAAATATGTGTTAGTAAAACATTTTGTCACGAGACAATCAAGAACAAAAATCTGCAAGATGGTAAATCACACACACACACACACACACACACACACACACACACACACACACACACACACACACACACACACACACACACACACACACACACACACACACACACACACACACACACACACACACACACACACACACACACACACACACACACATGGTGGTGAGTGGTAACCCTGCAGCCTTCCACCACAGTCAAAAACAAGGTTAACATTTTAGAAGCATCCCTCAGCCTCTGACAGCCTGGAGCTGCCTCTGAGGGTGTGTCTGGCTGGCAGTGGGCCAGGACAATATAAAAAAAGCTTAAAACGAAGGATAAGATGCAGGACGGGCTTCTTACCTCACTGAGAACTCCTCCGTGTGTCCTGGATGCTGCTGCCCCAGAGTGGCTGGGCCCAGCGAAGCCAGGGAGCGGATTGGACCCGACCCCCAGGCTGGGACTCCTTCCCCGGTCGCACTGCGCTCTGATTCGGTCGAGGAGCTGGGTGAGCTCCATCGCTGTGCCATCCTCCACCTCCCCTCCTGCTGCTGCTGCTGCTAACAGAAGATCGCAGGAGCCGGCCCGCTGCAGCTGCAGAGCCTGGGCTGCCTGCAAACAGCGGGGGGAGGGAGAGGGAAAGAGAGGGGGGGGGAAGACAGAAAAAGGATGACTGAATGATGTGAAGAGTGAGAAGAGGAAAACAAGACAAAGAGGGGGATGGAACTTGTTTGCGAATGGATAGGTGGATGTGAGAGAGAAAAAAAGAGCAAGAGTGATGTGTGTTTTATGTGTGTGTGGGGGGGTGCAAGAGCTGTGATACAGTCCACGCAATGCAGAGGAGAGGCAAGAGAAAAGCGTTTTTTTAGCCCTTCGTGTGTGTGTGTGTGTGTGTGTGTGTGTGTGTGTGTGTGTGTGTGTGTGTGTGTGTGTGTGTGTGTGTGTGTGTGTGTGTGTGTGTGTGTTGTGTGTGTGCGTGTGTGTAGGAAAAGACACTTGAAGTGAGGGAGGTGAGTGTTAGTCAGCAGGAATAGAAAAATGGAGACGCGGTAGAAGAGAGGGGAGAGAGGAGGGGTGGATGAGGTCAGAGTAAAGGGACGAGGAATTGTTAGACACTGTGAAGCACACATCTTTTTTTCTTTTTTTTTAACCTTTATTTAACCAGACAAAAAGCATTGAGATAAAATCTCATTTACAATGCTGACCTGGCCAAGAAGGCAGCAACGTTATACATTTTTACACATAACACAGACATATGAAATACAGAGAACACAACTAAGTAAACAAAAACAAAAAAACGAAAAGCAGTCACTACATGGTGCACATTTGGGACAGTAAGAAAGGTACTACTTATTACTGCAAGAGCAGCTGGTGGTGAGGACTTCAGACAACTTCAATTTAAAACATGATATAGAGACAAGTGCCATCAGTTTAAGGCGTGATTGAAGGTCATTCCAAGACCAAGGACCATAATGAAAAAGACTCCTTTTTCCAGCCTCAGTCTGTACAGTAGGAACCTGGAACCGTATCCAGGCACTGGATCTGAGGTTGTAAGAGTCACAAACTGGAGCAAATCTGGCACATATGTAGAGTGGAAGCTTACCTAAAATGGCTTTATACATTAATAAAAACCAGTGCTGCATCCTACGCATAGTAAGTGAGGACCATCCAGTTAGGCTATACAGTGTGCAATGATGAGTCCTATAGGGTGCATTTGATATATAACGCAGTGCAGCATGGTAGAGTGGGTCAAGTTTGGCCAAAACAGTGGGACAGGCGAATCTATAGATTGTATCACCGTAGTCCAGCTGGGACAGGAATAAGCCAGAGACCAACCTTTTACGCGATGAAGTTGAAAAACAAAATGTTAGTCTATAAAGGAAGCCAAGAGTGAATTTCAATTTCTTAGTTAGAACTTCAATGTGGTGTTTAAAGTTTAGATTTCTGTCCAACCAAAAGCCCAAATATTTGTATGTATTGACAAACTCAGCAGAGACACCATCAAGGGTGTCAATGGAAAGGCAAGAGGACGCTGACTTGGGAGCAAAGAGGATTGCTTTGGTTTTCTTACTGCTTGTAGCACTTCGGGATTTGAAATCAAATATGAAGTGCTTTATAAATGGAACCCATTATTATTATTATTATTATTACTGTTCAATAGCAGTTTCGAATCAATAAGCGCATGCTGCAGCGTGATAAAATCAGTTTTTAAATTGGACATGGCCATATCCAGAGAAGGAGCACATGAGTATTCAATACTCAATATCGTCTAAGACTTTCAGACTGGCAGTCGCAGTACTGTGCTTTGATCTGAATCCAGATTGCATAGGGTTAAGGATGTTGGGTGAATTTAAAAAAAGTTTTAGCTGAGTAGAAACTAGGGACTCAAGAATCTTTGATAACACAGAAAGATTTGAGATAGGACGATAGTTATTCAACTCAGTGGGATCACCAGCTTTCAAGAGGGGCGATACAAGAGCTTGCTTCCACACATCTTCACAGCGTCAGTATCTCATTCATATTATCCTCATCATCCTCATCATATCATTTCCCCCCTAAGTCTCTTTGCTCACATTTATAACCAAAAGCAAGCTGGCTAGCCATTGGAAGCAATTTGGATTTAAGGATCTGTTTTCAGATGTATTTAAATAAAAAAATATATGTTATTGTTGCACTGTATCTACATGTTTTTGTGTTTTTTTTGGAAAGCACAAGTCATATACATACTTGCCTTTCCTTGCATGCTAGGGTGTTAGCATGCTAGCATATACTAATCAAACATTAAGTACGAGTGAGAATGATAGGAATGTCTTGAGTTTAGAATCTGCTCTTAAACAGAATTAATGGACAACTTCAAATGTTGACCTGATGATGGTGCTATATAAAAAGTCATTGAAATAATTACAATATGTATTGATGGTCATGAATGACTGAACAAGTACGATAAACCATCAGATATTTTAAAATTAATTTAAAAAAGGGATTATTATACAGGTAATTTTTTACACCTGCAAACCTAATCTGCTTCAACTCACATCTGATGCTTAACATTAGATAGATATTACTGCAGATGTAATGGAACATTAACTGAACTTTTGTTCAAAGTACTCCTCAAACAAGGTGTTCGATCTATTCACTGCTAGCTTAGGAATCAAACCGCAAGAGAATGTCTCTCACTCTGTACAACTCCTCAGTAGAAAAGATAAAGATCCTAACTTAAAGGAGAGGTGTCATGCTTTTCCGGTTATTACCCGTCCCCTTGTGTGTTATGAAGGTTTTTATGCATGTAAACGGTGTGCAGAGTCAAAACCCTCAAAGTACACCCTGTAGCGAGAAAAACTCTAACACAGAAAATACCTCCCCAAAACGCCTCGTTGGAGATACGTCACTGCCCATTTGATTCTTCCGAGTACGGCATGATGTAATGCCGTACCCGGAACGAACTGGACCAATCCGTGGAGCCGTTACGTTACGTCCGCGGAGCCGTTACGTTAAGCCCCCGCTGATTGGTCCAAATTGACCAATCCACGGACTTCCTCACACACAGGCAGCTCTGCTGAGTTCTCCTCCCTGGCTGCAGGCTGATAACAGACAGTTGGGATCGCGGCAAAATTCTCTCTGCAGACCCATTCTCACAGCGTTTATCAACCTTTTTCTTACTCAATATCAAGCCACACTTATTGTTTTTACTTCGGCTGTGACTTTGTGTGTGCTCAGGATGAGTTTGGCTGTGTTTCGCTGTGTATCCTAAACAAGGAAACAACACCTCCACGGAGCTCAGCGCGATTCACAACGTCCCGACCAATCAGAGCACACTGTGCTCACAGGGAGGGTGGGGGCTGGAGCTATTGGAGCTACAACGAACCGTTAAAGGCAGAGAGTGAAATTCAGTGAATACACGTAGTACAGAGATGCTGTATGAGAAACCAATGTGAGTTTGGAAAAATGCACAATATAAATCTATTCTAGTAGACCTCAACAATGGAATTATGATCAGTGGAAATGGCCATGACACCTCTCCTTTAAGCTTGACTACATAGCCAATGATTACAATGACCTAACGCCTCTGTCGGCCACTTCCACAACAAACCTCCACCAAGTAAACGTTTCAACTCTAGTAGGGGCTATAAATGGAATCTTATTTCGATAAAGCTAACCAAGTTAAAGGCGGCTAATGCTTGATGACATTTATTAGTTTACTTAGTCACTTGTTAGCAACCGCCATTTGTATGACACATAGATGATTTAGACATCCAAGAGTGGAGATCACTGATGTGTATTATGTCTAAAAAAAGAGAAAGTAAAACTCTCGTAAGCTTATTTTAACCACAGACCTTATTTCAGGCTTCTAACCACAACAACATTCCAAAAACGTTGACTTCAAAACAAGGGGACCAGAAATGGCCTGTGTGAGACTGCATACATATGCGATAACACCATCAGAAAGAAAGAGAGAGAGGTGATTTGGAAGGAAAAAAGAAGAAGAGTAAAAAAGATGTCAGCACATTTAGTGACCTCAAACTCCCGGTGCATCTCCTGCAGATCCGTCATGGAGTGACGGAGGTCTGCCTGCAGGGTGGTGCTGCTCTGGTCTGCCTTCCTCTTGGACTCCCTGAGCACAGCCACCTGCTGCTCCAGACGCAGGGTGGTAATCTCCTCCGTCTCACACCTAGGATTCCAACAGACAAACAGTAAGCCACCGTCTTTGTTTAATTGAAAAATAATGTACTATGGGATGCAGAAAATACAAAAAGATCCTTGTTTGAACACAGGAAGGAAAGAGAAAATATGAATTTTTTAATTTGGTGCATTAAGTGGTGGAATATTGTAGTTTAAACTGAAAGATGTCATATTGTTGTTTGACAATCTTCTTGGATGGATTACTCCACTGGCCAACCATAGCCCCCTTTTGGCCTTCACCTACAAAATGTTTCCTAATAGGGACCAGGAAGAGACTCAAACAGACTAGGAGGGGGAGAATGAGAGGCAGCGGTGGAAAGGCGTAGAGCAGCTTTCTTGGCCATGGCTCGTGTGCAAACGCGTCCACCCCGAAGGCTGTGGTATTCTCTGGTGGCCCACTCCGCCGCCAAACCCTCCATAAAAGGAAGTTTGGCCCATGGGGGGCTGACACAGAAAGGGCCGATTTTCCACTGAGGTCCTAGAACGCACCGCGGCACCCTCTCGTGGGAGCGCACGCTCCGCCATAATGCAGCTTTCACCCAGACGGAAAAATGCATTAATCTGAGTTACATTACATTACATTGCATTTAGCTGACGCTTTTATCCAAAGTGACTTACAATAAGTGCATTCGACCAAGAAGATACAAACTTGAAGTTGAATTTTTACGCTAGGCGCGTCTTGGGTGGAGAAAGATATCTCCGCCGGGACACTTCCTCCCACCGCCCGTCATCTCCGGGAGGATGGTGCACCCCATCCTGAAGCCCTCTGTTGACGCGGAGCCGGGACAGAGGCCTGTCGGGATCGTACAGCCTGTCCCCGCGGGTGCTGGTATTGAGCCCGCCCCGCGGGACCAGCCGAGGAGGTAGGAGAAGCAGCGGGAGCCCGCTCGCTCCTTTGAGAAAGAACCAGAGGCAGCATACGGCTGAGCTGTGCCCTTTCTTCCTCCAAACGACTTAAGCGCTGTGTGACCGAGGTGATCGATCCGAAGAGCCCTTCCGTGGATACGGGGGCTCCAAGGAGATCATCACGGTCCTTCTTGGAAAGCGGCCAGCTGCGGCGGCTACACCATGGACCAGATTGTTCATCTGTCCAATGCAGCGGTCCAAATAATCGCTCCGGTCCTGAGACGGGGAGACCGGGGCTTCCTGCTGAGGAGTGATCAGCGAGACATCCAACACGCCCAGATTATTGCCCGCTGCCGCCAGCTGTGCTCCGAGCCGGAATATCTTATCTAGATATTCTAGCGTTTCACGGTCACGAGGCAGCGGGGGCAGAGGCTTTTTCCCCTCCGCCCAACCTGCTGCCTGTGGGAGCAGATGGGCCGCCAGGCTCTCATCAAGGGGGGGCACGCCGGGACACACTGTGTCCGTGCGGCCCTGCACCCCTGAGGATTCCCGCCATACCAGCCACTGGAGCCCTCCTCTTCAGTGGGTGCCGCCACGTCGCCTCCACACACTGCCAGATATCTGGCAACAGGGGCGAAACGAAGGCCGGCTGCGCCGGCTGAACCGGACAGTAGAACCCCTGACGGAGGCGGCTCACCGGCTTCGGTGGTAGTGGTGGGGGGAGCGGTAGTCCTACACGCTCCGCCGCCATGGCCATCACCAACGGGAAATCCTGACGAGCAGACCTGCGCGGTGGACCCTTATGGACGCCGGACCCAGAATCGCCCGACACCAAGAAGTCCTCGTCTTCTTCCTCCTCGACAAACGGGGCCGCCCAGCCCGCCGGATTGGCGAACGGCACCTCCCCGGCCACCTCCTGGTCCTCCATCTCCACCACATCGAGTTCCTCCTGGTCCTGCACCTCGTCCGGCGATACATAGTGTGCCTGGAAGTGCTCCAGACGATGCTGGCGTCTGAGCCGCGGGAGCGAAAGGCAGGCATTGCAGGACGGGGAATGTTTTACGCCATCCACAGCGTGGTCAGGCCCCAAACACTCGAAACATAGGCGGTGGGGATCAGCGCCCGCAAAATGCTTCAGCACAGGCAGAATAAGAAAAATAATGAGCTTTTTTTTTAATATTAAAGTGTGGAGACATGTCACAGTAGAGGTACAACATACCAATATGAAACCTGAAAATGGTAGCAGAATATGTCCTCTTTAATATGTTTAAGGGGTAGTGAACATGCTTGATAGGCTAATCAATGAGCCCCAGGCTGTACTGAATGAGGAGAGGTGCGTTAGAGCTTTCAGGAAAAGTAGAGTGAAATCCAGCTGACCTGGCCTGGATGGCAGCAGCTCTGGATTTCATGCTTTCAGACTGTAATGACAGCTGGGCATTCTCCATCAGCAGGTTACCAACCTGACAAAATGGAGAAAAGAAACGGCAAGATTAGATATGGGAAAGTGCCAAAACAATATGTATTTCTACATATTGGCCCTTTAGTAAGATTGTAATCCTGCTAGTAATACCCCATTTGTAGAGCAACCTTTTTTTCATCCTGAATATGTAATACCATTATATGTATTACGATAATCCCCAAAACTGGTATATCCTGAATACAACATATTTGATACTTTTAAATTATTAACCTGTTTTAAAAAATAAATAATAATCAAGATATATAAACTGTTAAAAATAAATATATATTTGTTTTAATGATCAGGAAACTAAAGTTTAAAGTGTAACGAGGAACATTCATGGTAAGAATAATCTTCCTGTATAACCTGATACTGAAAGTTGTACAGAAACGTGAGTAAGAACATGTACAGCTATTTCCAATTGAATTTGATTCTCTCTGTTAAGGCTTGACATAAGTATTCTTAATTCCAAGTACATAATCCAAGTAGAAAAAGTTAGGTCCTTGACTTTTATAACACACACACAAACATGCTTACACACGTTTATTCCCTTTGTAAACAAGTCTCTTCACTCAGGTGTTCTTCCACAGGCCCTGAAAACTGCAGTCATTAAACCGCTCTTAAAAAAGAGCGGTCCAAAGGTTTTTGGAGCTAAGGCAGAACGTATAAAAGTTAGCGCTGAGCTTCAGTCTGCAATGTTCAAAACAACAGATAGAGCCAGAAATCTAGGTGTGGTCATGGACTCTGACCTGAGTTTCAACAGTCACATTAAAACAGTTACTAAGTCAGCCTACTATCACCTAAAGAATATTTCTAGGATTAAAAGACTAATGTCACAGCAGGATTTGGAAAAACTTGTCCATGCTTTTATCTTCAGTAGACTGGACTACTGCAATGGTGTCTTCACAGGTCTCACTAAAACATCTATTAGAAAGCTGCAGCTAATTCAGAACGCTGCTGCTCGAGTCCTCACTAACACTAAGAAAGTGGATCACATCACTCCTGTTCTGAAGTCTTTACACTGGTTCCTCACTAACACTAAGAAAGTGGATCACATCACTCCAGTTCTGAAGTCTTTACACTGGTTCCTCACTGACACTAAGAAAGTGGATCACATCACTCCAGTTCTGAAGTCTTTACACTGGTTCCTCACTAACACTAAGAAAGTGGATCACATCACTCCAGTTCTGAAGTCTTTACACTGGTTCCTCACTGACACTAAGAAAGTGGATCACATCACTCCAGTTCTGAAGTCTTTACACTGGTTCCTCACTGACACTAAGAAAGTGGATCACATCACTCCTGTTCTGAAGTCTTTACACTGGTTCCTCACCAACACTAAGAAAGTGGATCACATCACTCCAGTTCTGAAGTCTTTACACTGGTTCCTCACCAACACTAAGAAAGTGGATCACATCACTCCTGTTCTGAAGTCTTTACACTGGTTCCTCACCAACACTAAGAAAGTGGATCACATCACTCCAGTTCTGAAGTCTTTACACTGGTTCCTCACCAACACTAAGAAAGTGGATCACATCACTCCTGTTCTGAAGTCTTTACACTGGTTCCTCACTGACACTAAGAAAGTGGATCACATCACTCCAGTTCTGAAGTCTTTACACTGGTTCCTCACCAACACTAAGAAAGTGGATCACATCACTCCAGTTCTGAAGTCTTTACACTGGTTCCTCACTGACACTAAGAAAGTGGATCACATCACTCCAGTTCTGAAGTCTTTACACTGGTTCCTCACCAACACTAAGAAAGTGGATCACATCACTCCAGTTCTGAAGTCTTTACACTGGTTCCTCACCAACACTAAGAAAGTGGATCACATCACTCCAGTTCTGAAGTCTTTACACTGGTTCCTCACCAACACTAAGAAAGTGGATCACATCACTCCTGTTCTGAAGTCTTTACACTGGTTCCTCACTGACACTAAGAAAGTGGATCACATCACTCCAGTTCTGAAGTCTTTACACTGGTTCCTCACTGACACTAAGAAAGTGGATCACATCACTCCTGTTCTGAAGTCTTTACACTGGTTCCTCACCAACACTAAGAAAGTGGATCACATCACTCCTGTTCTGAAGTCTTTACACTGGTTCCTCACCAACACTAAGAAAGTGGATCACATCACTCCAGTTCTGAAGTCTTTACACTGGTTCCTCACTGACACTAAGAAAGTGGATCACATCACTCCAGTTCTGAAGTCTTTACACTGGTTCCTCACCAACACTAAGAAAGTGGATCACATCACTCCTGTTCTGAAGTCTTTACACTGGTTCCTCACTGACACTAAGAAAGTGGATCACATCACTCCAGTTCTGAAGTCTTTACACTGGTTCCTCACCAACACTAAGAAAGTGGATCACATCACTCCTGTTCTGAAGTCTTTACACTGGTTCCTCACCAACACTAAGAAAGTGGATCACATCTCTCCAGTTCTGAAGTCTTTACACTGGTTCCTCACCAACACTAAGAAAGTGGATCACATCACTCCAGTTCTGAAGTCTTTACACTGGTTCCTCACTGACACTAAGAAAGTGGATCACATCACTCCTGTTCTGAAGTCTTTACACTGGTTCCTCACCAACACTAAGAAAGTGGATCACATCACTCCAGTTCTGAAGTCTTTACACTGGTTCCTCACCAACACTAAGAAAGTGGATCACATCACTCCTGTTCTGAAGTCTTTACACTGGTTCCTCACCAACACTAAGAAAGTGGATCACATCACTCCAGTTCTGAAGTCTTTACACTGGTTCCTCACCAACACTAAGAAAGTGGATCACATCACTCCTGTTCTGAAGTCTTTACACTGGTTCCTCACTGACACTAAGAAAGTGGATCACATCACTCCAGTTCTGAAGTCTTTACACTGGTTCCTCACCAACACTAAGAAAGTGGATCACATCACTCCTGTTCTGAAGTCTTTACACTGGTTCCTCACCAACACTAAGAAAGTGGATCACATCACTCCAGTTCTGAAGTCTTTACACTGGTTCCTCACCAACACTAAGAAAGTGGATCACATCACTCCAGTTCTGAAGTCTTTACACTGGTTCCTCACTAACACTAAGAAAGTGGATCACATCACTCCTGTTCTGAAGTCTTTACACTGGTTCCTCACCAACACTAAGAAAGTGGATCACATCTCTCCAGTTCTGAAGTCTTTACACTGGTTCCTCACCAACACTAAGAAAGTGGATCACATCACTCCTGTTCTGAAGTCTTTACACTGGTTCCTCACTAACACTAAGAAAGTGGATCACATCACTCCAGTTCTGAAGTCTTTACACTGGTTCCTCACCAACACTAAGAAAGTGGATCACATCACTCCTGTTCTGAAGTCTTTACACTGGTTCCTCACTAACACTAAGAAAGTGGATCACATCACTCCAGTTCTGAAGTCTTTACACTGGTTCCTCACTAACACTAAGAAAGTGGATCACATCACTCCAGTTCTGAAGTCTTTACACTGGTTCCTCACTAACACTAAGAAAGTGGATCACATCACTCCAGTTCTGAAGTCTTTACACTGGTTCCTCACCAACACTAAGAAAGTGGATCACATCTCTCCTGTTCTGAAGTCTTTACACTGGTTCCTCACTGACACTAAGAAAGTGGATCACATCACTCCTGTTCTGAAGTCTTTACACTGGTTCCTCACCAACACTAAGAAAGTGGATCACATCACTCCAGTTCTGAAGTCTTTACACTGGTTCCTCACTGACACTAAGAAAGTGGATCACATCACTCCTGTTCTGAAGTCTTTACACTGGTTCCTCACCAACACTAAGAAAGTGGATCACATCTCTCCAGTTCTGAAGTCTTTACACTGGTTCCTCACCAACACTAAGAAAGTGGATCACATCACTGCTGTTCTGAAGTCTTTACACTGGTTCCTCACTGACACTAAGAAAGTGGATCACATCTCTCCAGTTCTGAAGTCTTTACACTGGTTCCTCACTGACACTAAGAAAGTGGATCACATCACTCCTGTTCTGAAGTCTTTACACTGGTTCCTCACTGACACTAAGAAAGTGGATCACATCTCTCCTGTTCTGAAGTCTTTACACTGGTTCCTCACCAACACTAAGAAAGTGGATCACATCTCTCCTGTTCTGAAGTCTTTACACTGGTTCCTCACTGACACTAAGAAAGTGGATCACATCACTCCAGTTCTGAAGTCTTTACACTGGCTTCCTGTGTGTCAAAGAATTGATTTCAAAATACTGCTGCTGGTTTATAAAGCTTTGAATGGTTTAGGCCCAGAATACATGTCTGACCTACTGCTAAATTATGAACCATCCAGAACTCTCAGGTCTTCAGGGACTGGTCAGCTTTCTGTCCCCAGAGTCAGAACTAAACATGGAGAAGTTCAGTTATTATGCTCCAAATATCTGGAACAAACTCCCAGAAACCTGCAGGTCCGCTGCAACTCTTACTACTTTTAAATCCAGGCTGAAGACTTTTCTTTTTGCAGCTGCTTTTAATTGAACTATTCACATCTTAAACTGCACTGTAACTTTTATCCATGTATTTTTTCTTTTAATGTTTATTTTATTATCTTTGCTTTTTAATGACTGATTTTAAATGCCATTTTCTTAATGTCTTTCATTTTTTGTAAAGCACTTTGAATTGCCTTGTGTTGAAAAGTGCTATATAAATAAATGTGCCTTGCCTTGCCTTTGTTTTCTTAAGAGTGCAACAATCTCAGAAGAAGACACACCCAGGAACAGCAGCCAAAGATAACATGGAATTTTCCACAACATTCATATCATAAACATTTATTATGTAGATGTTTTATTTGTGAGTCAGGATCAGCACTTAAGTCTTCCTGGTTTAAACTTCTGAGCTCTAAATTAGATAACACAATGGAGTTCTTTAGAGGATAATTAACAAGGTAATCCTAGATGTTAGTTTGAAAGCATTTTTCGGATCGGGGAACAATAAAACTAGCTATGTGCTCTGGTGTCTGTCACAGTCATGGGAACAGCAGCTAAACTTTGAAGACGAGGTGGGTGACGCAGTATGAAACAAGTCATTACAACGTCTGTCAGTGACATTTACTCGAGCAGAAAGTGATGTTAAACCCAGAGATCAGTTAGTCAGATAATGTGAGAACACCATAACTGTTGGAGTTAATGGTCTACTAAGTGGAATGGCCTTTAAAGTTATAAAAGGTTCTGCATGCCTTCTGTGTGTGACAGTCTTTCTGGCTCTGGTCCATTATCATGACAGGCAGGTCTGCTTTGTTTGATGTGGAGTTACCTTTCACCTTATGGACTAATAGTGTAAAACTTTCAGCACTTACATTGTGGTTGCTTATGGATTACTTGAACGGAAACAGTCTTGTTTTGACAATTTCTCAGAACAAATACATTTTCTTTCAGTATCCAGTTTTGAAAAGGGTTTAATATATCAAAAAAGATTTGCTAAATCCTCCTAACCAACTGGAGTCAATACAGTAAATACAACTCCCTAATAGTCAACAGCCATTTACTGTACACCTTTCATAGACGCCAGGCCATGTTTACCCCATTTAACTTGTATACACTTGCCCTTGTATCACATTTCAGCACCAACTTCATGAGTTTTAAGAGTTGTTGTTACTAGGGATCGGAATCTGACAGTTGCAAAACAATGACATCTAACTGCGGGTACGCTGTTGCAACAAGAAACATGAACAAGAAGTCAAGGAAGAGAGGAAGAAATGGTCCCCAGCATGGCCCCTATACAGTGCAACAATATGTCACCAATGTTACCCAAAAATATGTCTTTGGTTTTAACAAAACTGCTGCAGCAGTCACATCTGTAACCCTAACCCTAACCCCAACCCTATGTTTAAGTAAGATTAGCCACATGCAGGCAGGCTTAGCAGCATTTTACTTTGACAAAAGAAACATCTATCTCTACTATCTCTATCTTTTCATCTGCACTGTAATCAGACTGAAATGTTAATTACCTGTGTCGACCTACTTTTCTATCACAGATCAAAATAATCAGCACACAATAGAGTAATTCATAAAGAATGTCAGCGATTGCCAGGATTATGGAAGGCATTAATGTAAAATGAAAAACATATTTTCCATTCTCACCCCTAAATGTTACATGGTGGTTCTAAATAAAGAAAAGTGTTGAAAAGTGAAAGCTCCAGCCCTGAGGCGGTTGGGCCTCAGCCCTTAAGCCACTTTCTCCACTCCTTCAGTGAACGTGTACTTGAGGCCATTCACATGATGCGGCACTGGTAATCTGCTGTGTCTCTGTTGTGACTGCAGTCTTTGCTGTGTGACTACACACACCTGCTCCTGTTGTCTGCCAACCAATATGGCCTAGAACTGATGTAATGGATCATAACGCCAGCATAATGATTAAACCTGGAGTGGAGACAGCACTGCAGCAACACTGTCATATATTGGTGCTGCAAAGAGCAGGGACATTTGTAACACTTTTACAGAGTCCAAATCATTTTCATATAATTATCTGATAAAAAACCACAAACAAATAGATGTTGACCTGGGCACGGAGCTCGTTGACAGTCTGTTCCTGCTGGGTCCAGTCCTGGGAGCGTGGCGGGCTCCTGGCCCCCCAGTCTGCGATCTGAGCCTCCAGCCGCTGGTTGGCCTCCTGCAGCCTGTTCACCTGCTCCAAGAAGCCCTTCAGACGGGCATTCAGACCCCCCATGGTGCGACTTGAGTCCTGCATCGAGTCCATTGGGGAACTTAGAGAGCGCCAACCTGAATGTCCACAGACACACACACAAGCAGGCGCTCACATTTCCATACAGTCAAATGACACGGCTTGTAGTGCCTGTGGTGGCCAAAACACACTGCCCGCTAAAGACTTCTTGCACATACAAAGATATAAAAGCAAATAGCAAGCACAAGGCGTTAACTAGGTAAATGTTTAACCAGTGATACTCACCTATGGCAACGTGGCCTTCCAAGGAAAGTGTAGTAAAGAGGCAGTAAAAGTCCCTTGGTCTATTCTGCTGGTCACACTGAGCCGATGCACCACTCCCCACAGCTTAGCCACATTCCTGTACAGCAATTCGGTCAAAACGTTCTCCTCTCCCACTGGGTCCCAGGTCATCAGCAGCGGCCCTGAGACAGCACACAGACTGCCGTTAGCCTGCCGCTAACACCGGTTGCCTCTTCAGGATCCTCCACGACAGGGACCTTCCTCCCTGTCTCACCTCATCCCCTGGGCAGGCAGCATGTGGGAGAGGGGAGAGCAGTTGTGGGGGGCAAGCAGTGGACACAGTGCTTACATCACCAGCACTCTGGGGCCCTTTGTTCTCTCTGATCCAGGATTACTGAGCCGCTTTCAAACAGGCAGCACCACAAGCTGTGGAGGGAATGTTCAGGGAGACACAATGACAGGACCTGTGTGAGTGTATGTGTGCGTTAGAGTGGTGCTTTAATAAGAGGTTGCATGTACTATAATTAATGTGAAATCTCTGTCCCTACACACACTTTGTGCAGGGTTACCTCTTGCTCAATAACAGTCTCGGCTGAGTGTTTGTTTCTGTCTGGGCCAAAGGTTTCATCTTCTCAATAATAAAATGTACCGTTCAATATCTACTTGCTCACAGCCTCTGGATTATTTGAATATTCTCATAGATAACTTGTACAGGCAGATATCAAAACTGCACTGTATTTAACCCTTATGTTGTGTTCGGGTCTCCCGTGACCCGTTTCAAGTTAAAATTGTATAATAAACTAGGCTCTAGTTTTTTTTATCGGAACGTTCGGGTCTGGGAAGACCCAGCAGAATGGTTGTGGGTCACTCGGGGTCAAATTTGGCCCAATCAAGATTCATCTTTGACTTTAGACACCCCAGCCCCACCCCCTTCATCCACTGTAACAATACTTTTTGTTTTCTGGTCTCCCCTCCCTCTGGCCCCCCTCCCCCCACGGGAACTTCACCTTTCTCAAAGAATATGTACTAACACTTGAACCTGAACACAAACATGCACATGTGCAATATGTGGTGTAATGTGTTTTGGGGCCATAAAATAAAATTACAACAGGATTGTACAGTTATGAATGCATTATATGTTAGTTATGAATTAATCATCAAAATGTACCCGCGAACACCATGAACGGTAACAGCTTTCGAACACAACACAAGGGGTGGTAGTTTAAGCTGTGTGTTTGGTTAAGCTACTGAAGGTTCATTGTACAAGGATTCCATTGGATGTCTAAAGACACAAGCTGTGATCCAAATCTAATTTGGTCCAGCACACCATAAAGTGTCTGAGACTGCCCATTCTTCCGATGGACCAATATTGTGAAATGCAAATAGTCAAAAAAATGTCCCATTAGAGAGAATGCACGTTTATCCAATAGTCTGTTACCCGAAAAAGAAACTCCCATCGGTCTGAAGGCTCATTGCTACAAAAATACACACTGGGGATCAAACAGAAGCACATGGCTAGTTGTTATGCAGAATGGCTTCATCTGCGCTTCCTAATTTTTACTATTGCAAACGCATAACCCGCCCTACTCTACTTCTGATTGGCTGGTACTTCTTGCCTTCATTTTTGGGTTGGCTAGTTGTAGGTATGAGGAGTGACTTTAGTTAGGGTATATCAGGGTAAGCCACCAGAGGTAGAGTAGGGTTGGTCCTTTGCCATGGTAGGAGCAATTAAGTGTTAGCTTTCTGGATAAAAGGCTGTTGGACAAATTACCCATTAGCTTTCGGTCTAATGGGACATTTTCCAGAAGAGTGGGTTTTTATGACAACTGAAAAAAGTTTTTATACCTTCGTGAAAAAAGTGGTGAAAGAAGGTTTGTTACCCAATGAAATTGTAGAGCTACTTGGGGAATCAGCTGACAAGCTAACTGCTAACATGCTAGCCAGCTGAGATTATGCATTAGTTTGTCAGTCAGAATAACTCTCAAAGATACCAAAAGGTATAGGTGCCATCTATCTTCAATCTTATAACTGTCTGTATAACAACGAGTAGTTTATTATCCTGAGGAGTAAGTTAAAGGGGACCTATCATGCAAAATTGACTTTTGTACGTCTTTTATACATGAATATGTGTCCCCGGTGTGTCAGGGAACCCACCAAGTGTCAGAAAACACAACCCTCTCTCTTTTCCTCCATACCCAAATCTCTAAAAACGGGGCTGCAACGGATCTGATAAAAACTGATCCAGATTTGAAATTGTTCTGACGTCAGAAACGGGGTGCTCCGCCTATATGGGCAACTCTCCACCTATCAGGGGAATGAGAGGTGACAGCATGGTAACATGACGCTCGTGCCTCACCCCCCTCCTTTGCAGGGGGGCGTGGTCAGTTGCAGCTCATTTGACACAGAATCAGCCCTTGTGAAGACAGGGCTGGAATAGAGCAAATAGAGCGAAATGAGGCATGGCTAAAATGCATGATCTGTTTGGTATTTTGAAAAAAAAACTTCACAGACATGTTTTATATAGGTATGGCCCTACAATATATTATTCAAATATAGCATGATAGGTCCACTTTAAATAAAAGTTTCTTCAATTTATTATTTTTCAGTTACCTCAAAGATAATATGTTGGTGGTCAACATCACAGGTTGGTTGTTAACTAAAAATGAACTCATCCCAAAATATCAGCCTTTGAAATGCTGCTATGATGCAAAGGCTTAACAGAAGAGAAATTGGTCATAAAGTCAGTCAACTAACTCAGCATTATGTATCTTAAAATAATCTTAAATATGCTACTGGTCCTACTTGACCAGTAGTAGATTGATGCAGAACAAACAATTCAATTTTATTAAAAAAAATGTCACGGTTACATCTCACTTTATCAGGTTGTTAACATTACATAATTGTATGAGGTGCATGATTCAATCTAAAACTATTTTTATACAGGGTTTCATTGATAAGATATATTTTTCTTATCTTCATGTGTTTTCCTGTGCCTTATTTTCCTCACATTTTTGCTGATATTTGCTAATCTGATGATTTAAAGATGGTAAACAAGCCTGACTTGATGTGACAGGATGTGAGGATTATTAATACAGAGCGGAGTCAGTACTTATATCTGCTACAACCATTGCACAAATATATTCTCTGTCGAGACTTTTATTCTCTACGCAGATAATAGAGATAGAGGAGGAGCTTACTTTCTCATGTGGTTTTGCTGACAGTTTGCCAGGGTTCGGCTTTTAATCCCTAATTAATGGATAGAAAGAGTATCAGTTAAAGCACAGTGAAGAAGTGAAATGTGTCGGAAGAGGGAACATTTTTAATGTACATTTAAATATTGAAACACACATGCTGGCTATCAGCTGGGACACTTACTGTACCGTCGTCACACCCTCTCAGCAAGTTGCTTCCTGTTGGCAAGACTAAGATGATTAATAACGCAGTCAGGTAAAATCCCGGAAAAGCAGCACCTGTCAGGGCGTTGCAGGTATCTCTGTACTCAGTGTCTGGGACAAATTATTTAAGCTGTTGACTGCAGGGAATGCCACCGAGCCTGTTTTTTAAGCTTTCATGTTGCTCCCACAAAGATCCAAGAAGTCTCCTGCTCTCTGTCGCACAACATTTGGGGTTAGGCGAAGGGAATCACGTAACTGCAGGCTACAGTGACAAGCAGGTAGTGACTTGTTAGGCAAATTCAAGGAGCAGTGGTGCAGGTTTCAGAGTAAGATACTGCCTACAAGTGGATAAAAACTAAACGTCCTCATATTATAGGTTTAACACTGATCCTGACCCCTGCGACTCGACATTCCTCTGACTGTTCTCCGTGAGGGTGGGCGCCTTTGATCGTGCCTTTTGTGATCCCACATTTTCTATACAAGGATCCTTTTAAGTGTTTGACTGCCAAAAGAAGGAAAAGAAACACCCCTTATAATAACATACAACACTTTGATCCATTCTCCAACTGTTGTAAAACAAACTCCATGCCAGAAGCTTTTTGTCTGTACATGATATCATTATGCACGCCTTGTACTAAATTGCAAGGTATTGTTGTTTAAAACTACAAAAAGGATTATCCTCACATAAACTCTTTACCAGACTTTGCTGTAGGGGCAATGTTCAGCCAAAGCATTTTCATGTGCTTTTACTTGCAGTTTAAAGGTATTGTAAGACACAGAAACCGCAATAACAATGGGTCTTGAAATGCCAAATCACTCATCCTGCGACAAGCATGATTTATTTGTGTATGTCAAGTGCTAATCCAAGCATCCATCATATGAGGTTCTACTGAAAATAATCATTAGTGTCATTGTACAAACCTTGTTATTACAAACCCACAGGAATTCCGCCAGCTCTACTGTTTTATTTAAGCTCAATGGACAGTTTGAGCATCTTTCCAATCTGTTTTGTTTTTCTTACATTTATTTGTTCTGGTTTGGTTGAGTCTCACAGCTCTCATCAGCCTGATTGTATTGAGAACAAAAGAGCCCACTGTATGCTGTCTGCCCAGCATCCAACAGCAGACAGGCAAAGTTAGTGACTAGCTCAGTATTGACAACCATCTTCAATGAAAAGTAGCTATTTCATTAGATACTTTGCATATTTGGGACATCATTATTTAACTATTCAAATGTGGCATCTGGATTGGGCTGTTGCACTTGAGGGCCGTGTTCCACAAAAGCATCAGTCATGCAGTAGTGCTGAAGCAAAGTCAATGTTTCACTCATCTCCAATTTTTTAATTAAGGGTTTGTTTAAAGAGGCCCTATTGTGCTTTTTTGAGTCTTCCTTTCCTGTAGTGTGTTCTATAGGTTTTAGTGTATGCAAATGGTCAGCAAAGGCTAAAATCCCTGTGTTCCCTCCACAGTGAGTTTCTCTCCCAAACACTCCCCCCCTTGTCTGAAATGCCTCCATTGGACTCCTTTGTTTACTTCAGTAACATAGACCCCATTTACACGCAAACGCAAACGCATACGAAACGAATACGATATCAAAAAAGTATTCCGTTCACACGAGACCGCTCTGGAGCGCTGGACACGCTGTAGTACATATGCCGGGCCTGTAAGTGGCGCTGTACTTCTGCCACAAAATACACCAAAAGCAGCGAAGAAGACCCCCGAGCATGGTTGCCTTTCTGTTTATGCCCCGCGGTGATTTAGCAACATGTAGTTCATGTAATTCTCCATGTCCACTTGTTGCTGATGGTTGTGGTGGAGGAGCTGTAGATTTTGCACTAACATCTGTAGCATGGTCAGTAGCAGTAGCAGTAGCTACTGACAGTAGCTACTGACCATGCTACAGCAGTGAGCAGCAGAGGTGGGTAGAGGTGGGGCTATGGCTTCATCGTTATCAGGAAATGATCGTATAGGGCTTACACACGGAGCCGTTTGGCCCCCCAGAGCGTTCCGTTTGCAGATCTATCCACCTTGGGAACCGTTATCGTTTGCGGGGTCCGTTTCCGCGTTTCCGTTACGGCCTCGTGTGATACGATAGAGAAACAGCACCATAGTGACATCACTATGTAACACGAGAGCTTCTATTAGCCAGCGCACCAACACATTGTACATGATAGGCTAAGGGGTGGGACATTTCTGAAACAACTCTTAACAGTTGACCAATCACAACAGTCGGCAAGCTAACCAATCAGAGTAGACTGGGCTCTGGTTTCAGACAGAGGGTGAAAAGAGGTGCTGCAGCACAGGCAGTATGAGAAAAATAAAGCGCTCTTTGAACATTAGAGCATGGAGACATAACTCTCAATTCTAATTTGTATTCATAAAATTAGAATATGAAACCTGGAAGTGAGCAGAATAAGTCCTCTTTAATCAATCTGACAGCACACTCAAATGAGAGTGTCGTTGTATGAAGAAACAAAGTGATTTTGTGTTTTTACAGTTTTTCTCTAGTTTTGCTTTTGTTTTGTAGTATTACACGACTAATGTTGCATTTCTTTGTAAAACTCTGTGGCCTGTGCTGTACAATGAAATTATATTTCCCTTGATCTGAAAAGAGCACCAATCTTATCTAAGAACTCACCCCGAGAATCAACAGGCCCATCCTTAATTGTTCAGGTAGCATCAGAACCAGAACGTCCACATTTTCTGCCAAGAATGTTCTCATACACTTTTAATTCCATCAACCATCCCTCCCCACCGCAGACTTTCATACCAGTGGGGAATTAGTGGTTACCCTTTCAATAGACGCCTCGACACACATCATTCCATACATTTCGGAGCTAGTTAGAAATGAAAAAAAAACGCCATGGCATACAGTTCAAAGAAATACCTTTGAAAGTTATTTACATCCAAGGGAACCTAAGGGAATGGCTCACTTCTTTTGACAAACCAGGGTGTTTCCTCATGACCGATGGAAAGTTGGTTGTTAATTACAAACCACAGACAACAGAAATAATAAGATAAGAATGTGTCATTAACAGTGATCACGAATACTGCTTTGTTCCATTCCCACACCTGTTCTCAAACAATATTGAGCCACAGCAAGAACACATTTGCGTATTGCCCCAAAGGCTGTAAAAGTTGAATTAATCTAATGTTAAACATCATTTGTGTAAACAAAAAGTAAGATCCTGAGGCAGCTTAAAAACAAGTACATCAAAGTCAGTATCATTAAATATTTTAAAAGGAAAAGAAGTTCTGCGACAGGTCCTGAAAAACTATTATCCTTGTCATAAATCGTTTGACATTTTGCAAAGCACCTCAGGGCTACACATCATACTTTCTTTTCACAAAACAATTACAATAGGAGTGCCAGACAGCTGTCATTTGGTGTTACGTAGAACAAGGATGGGCAAATATTTCAAAGATGGCCAACAAGTTTGGAACTTGATTTTAATATCGGCCCTGCGATGAGTGTGGTCAGCAGAGGCTGGTGAAGGGGTGTGGGTTAGTTAGAGCTGATTATTGAAAGTGAGATGAGGCTCTTCTTTGAGTCATCTAACCCGCCAATGTTCATAGCGTGACAACAGAAACAGCCTGAACAAAGCATTCTGGGACATCAGAGATGGTAGAGCATGACACCATGCCATAATTTACAGATGATTTTCCCTCATGACAAATTATATATGATCTTTAAACTTTTGTTTTATTAGAAAACGAGTGATATGATGTCATAAAAGCTTGACTAGTCACAATTTGGAAATAACATTGATTAAGGCCTGTCATTAAAGCAAAAGGACTCACAGATTTACTCAACTCATTACATTTACTCAACTCATTAAATTCAACACTTTGGTTTACTTTTAAACCTGTAAAAAAGATGAAAAAAACACTGACACTATGCCTGAATCCTTATATTCCACAAACTGACCTCACATTTTAATTCCTTTTAGTCTCAGCATAGTTTAACATTTTTAATGGATCTTACAAATCATCCTTAGTTTATGCTCCTTTGTCAGTTTAACTCTATTGTGAGAAGTTTATCTGATGACTTTGGCGCATTTAAATGTCAGTACTTCTATAAGTCCTTAAGACATTTGGCTAAATACTGTTATTTATTATTTTAGATTCAACATTGCCCGGGTTGCCAAAGTACTGAAGGTGTGCTAGGTTCTGATAATAAAGTGAAAGGTAGCAAAACAAAAAAGCCACAGCTTAAGAACACCTGATAAAAGACCAGCAACCACTTGCCAGTCTCTTGTAATTGATCCATTTGCTCTACACTGGTAATATAAAATCAAATACATTTGATATGGAAGTGTTTGTTTAAGTGTCTGCTGCAATGATAGTGAACAGGACCTGGAGTCTGTTCAGTTTAAAAGTGATTGTAAAAACTTGAAACAAGGCCACTTGGCAACTGCTATGGGAATAGGAATATCGTGGTACTCCATCGTTGTTTAGCCAAGAGTCCACTAATGATGCCAAGATCAACGTTTACCTGCACTTTACAAGCGGCAGACAGAAAGGGAAGGATTACTGAACATTTTGAGTGTAATAAGAATGTTGTGAACACCAAAGCACTGTCAATCAGTCTATCTGGGTATCTGCCCTCGGGTTCTAACAACACTGCTATGTTCATCTTACTAGCATCCAATTGAGGTCACTGAATTAACATTTTCTGACAGATTGGCCAACACAGACCTGCCATTATCAAACAACAAACAGTTATTACTTAAAGAAAGAATTGCAGACCTGTATTTCTGTAAAAGGAGAGTTTGTGGGAAAATTGAACAATGTTTTATTAAAATCTTAGAAGCAGCCCTGTGCTGACATTTGATATGTTACTAGAGCTGTGCACAATTGTAGTCAACACACACCAAGAAATTGCAGTCATATGAAAACAAGTATTGGCTATCAGTAAAGGCCATTGGAAAAAACGTGTACACAAGGTCACTGTGTAAAAAAAGGTCATGTTAGCTGAATGACAAAAAATAAAGTGAAATGGAAATACAAAACTATTTCACTATCTTAATTTTAAGCCATTTAAAAGCGCTCACCTACAACAGCTTGCAACAGCAGCAATAGCCAGAGGCAGAAATGGTTGAAAAAATATGTTTTCTGAGTAATTAAACGTTTGCTCTTTGAGAAATGTGCCAACACCTAATAAGAATTTAATCAAAGTAATCTCAAAAACATGATGCTCCGTGGCAAGCCTTCAAGTATCTTGGCAGCACAGGTTCATGTTTTGTTAACGTTTTTGAATGTGCATTTTAAGTAGTTGCAACATTTTAATTATAAATCAAACTAACGAGTAGCCATACTCAGGCATCGACACACAGAATTTATGCTAGCACATGCTAACTGCTACCAATCACACAGAAGTGGCAGACGACCACAGATGTTAAAGCTACTACATTAGCAACAACTCTCCCCACAGAAATATAACATATAAGTATGACAAATTTCACTCATCCAGGCTAACCCCTAGATTCCACCGGGTCCGTCTGCGTCGCATTACGGCGGCGTTGTTACGGCAGCGTCCACACGGCGGCGTGCGTTGAAGCTTGCCGGTGAGCTTGTCTGAAACTCGACCAACAACCAATCACATGAATCTTCCGCCCCGAACACACAAGCATGCGGTTTGATTGGCTAGAGCGTGTACTGGCATATGATTTGATTGGCTGACGCTTCCACCGAAGCTTCAAAAGTTGAACATTGCTCAACTTTTGAAGCGAGCAAAGCGAAGCAACGTTCCCACAATGCAGTTCGGCAAAGCGTGACGTCACCCCATTCAAAGTGAATGGGCAGAAGCGTTGAAGCTTCAACGCATGCCGCCGTGTGGACGGGCCGTTATGGCTGCGCTGCGGCGTTCGCAAAGATCGCGGCCACTCAGTCAATGGGTGCTATTCCACCAGACGCGCCGCGTTACGGCTCAGAAGCGTCCCAGAAGCGTCTCGGCGCTGGACTCCGCTCAAAATAGGATGCAAGTCTATTTTTCGACGGGACACGAGGCATTGCATAGCGCCCGGCAGGAAGTGGACCGGTCAGAGCATCCAGTCAATCCCCAAAATAAACTAATTTTGCAGACCCTATCCCTCCGTAGTCTTTCAAGTAGGAGGAGAAATGCCAGCGTTCTCCTCCGGCACTGTGTACATTATATATATAGAATAATAATAATAATTTTTTACCACTAAAATACAGCAACACATCTTTGATTCATGTCGTTTATAACTGGAATATTACAGTTATTATTAACTTTGTCTGTACACAGTAGCCTGTCCAGGAAATATGCCCAAATCAACAAAAACTGCGAGCCGGCAGGCAAGACGCTCCGCTTCTGAAATGCTTCTGAAACGCGCCCGGTAGGGTATGACGCCGGAGGAGGCTGGACAAAAACCGCGGCGCAGCCGTGACGCGACGCAGGCGGACCCGGTGGAATCTAGGGGTAACGCCGGGATTCCACCAGGTCCGTCTGCGCCGCGTTCCGTCTGCGCCGCGTTCCGTCTGGGCCGCGTTCCGTCTGGGCCGCGTTCCGTCTGCGCCGCGTTCCGTCTGCGCCGCGGTTTTGTTCCGACCTCCTACAGCGTCAAACCCCACCGGGCGCGTTTCAGAAGTGTCTTGCGTGCCAGCTTCCCATTCACTTTGAATGGGGTGACGTCAAGCTTTGCCGAACTTTGTGGCGTCGCTTTGCCTCTGTTGCTCGCTTCGAAAGTTGACGGAAGCGCCAGCCAATGCCAGTACAAGCGCTAGCCAATCAAACCGCGTGCTTGTGTGTCCGGGGCGGGAGATTAATGTGATTGGTTGTTGGTTGCGCGCCAGACAAGCCCACTGGCAAGCTTCAATGCGACGGAACCGTGTGGACGATACGTAACGCGGCCGTAAAGCGGCCGTAAAGCGGCCGTAACGCAGCGCAGACGGATCCGGTGGAATACGGGGGTAACTGTTGCTAGCAGAAAGCTTGGAAATCCATTTGCTCGGTCTCGATTTTGGGGGGTTATACTTTTTAAATGGTTCAGAGAGTATAAGGTCAGCAGTAAACTCCAACTTCTGTGTGTATTTTCAGAAGAGGGCTTTTGTTTTCAGGATAACGGGGATCGCTTTACGGTAAACATAGCCATGTAACCTGTCCAGCTAACATTGACATGTTAGCTGGATAGGTTACATTTTATCAACATAACAATTTGCCAGTGGTGGAATTTAACAAAGCACATATACTCAAGTAAAAAAAATCGAGGTAGCCTACTTGTACTTTACTTGAGTATTTTAAAATTAAACTACATACACCTTTACTTTTCTAGTTACATCGCAGATTTAAGTTAATGCAAAAATATAAATCGACACATTCATTAAATACATACATTAATATAGGCTAAGCTACCTAACCAAGTAGTGTATAAAGTAATCCAAATAAACCCCACCTTCACCAAGTACTACACTGAAGTGATGAACACATAAGTGCACCGATCATTTAAAAAAATGCTTTGTGTTTAATTCTGCCTTTCTGCATAACGATTACTTTCACTATTGGTACTTAAAGTATATTTTGATGCTTATACTTTTTTCTTTTAAGTACAAATTTGAAGGCAGTACTTTAACAGAGTATTTTTATACTGTAGTATTGCTACTTTTACTTAAAGTATTGTATTTCTTCAACCTCTGCATATTGTTTCTTTAAATTCTGGGTCAGGTATACTATTGACAAATATGTGAGACGTGCTTACTGTTAAAAGTTGTTGTAAACAATCTACAAACTGCCAGGAAAAGAATAAATCTTATTTTTCATCCTGAGATTAAGAGTATCAGACTGGATTAATTAAAGTTGACATGCGGAACAAACAATAGCCTACCTCACACGCCTATGTGCCCTGCCTGCCAGCCGTTATATCGGACAGCAAACATGAATGCCAGAGCCTCCACGCCCTGTGCGGTCACACCTGTCATGATGGAGCCGCATCTTCCCACCCACCTGTTCGGCCGCTCCCACCTCCGGGAAGGAGGCTATAAAGTGCATCCTCCTGGCCGCCTCAGCAGCATCTCCTCCCGGGTTAGACAAGTCCAAGTGAACGCTGCACCTGAGTCAGAACAGAAGTCATCATGTCCAACTTTCGCCGTGGGTTTACCAGCTCTTCCATGTCCAACATGAAGACCGGCTCCAGCAGGGGGTCGAGGAGCGTGTACGGCGGTGCAGATGGTAGAAGTGTCCGCGTGTCCTACGCCTCCAACGGCCTCGGCGCTGGTTTTGACTTGGGAAGTGCCCTCGGGGGCGGCGGGGGCAGCAGTATGGGCATCGGTGGTAGCGAGAAGCAAACCATGCAGAACCTCAACGACCGCCTGGGCAGCTACCTGGAGAAGGTGCGCGCTCTGGAGTCCGCCAATGCGCAGCTCGAGTGTCAAATCCGGGAATGGATGGCTAAGCAAGCCCCCAGTGCCAGGGACTACAGCAAGTATGAGCAAATCATCGAGGACCTGCGCAGAAAGGTAAGATCTCCTTAACTAATGTAGAAGAAAAAAATGATAACCTACTATAAATGTTATTTAGTGCCTTTTCCCATCTTTTAACGTGATTCATATTATTCTCCTGGTAATCTTAAATAATAACCAAATAATTTAGTATTTCTAAAAAACAAAACAAATACTTTTCCAATGTGTAAGCTATTATTGTAAAAACTCCAAAGATAATAATACAACCCATCATAGATAATCTATAGACATATCATATTTTACATTTTCCACCATATTGAGTCCTCTTACTGTATTCAGACACACTAAATAGCTATCACATGAGTTATTATAAAAGATCACATATGATATGTGAGTTAATGTCATAGAGAACGGGTTAGTTTGGATTTGAAAACCATCACTACTTTTTCTTTGTTTGTTTCTAACTACCGCCAATAAGCACTGCCAAGAGGGATGTTTTACACATGATGAAAGAAAGTGATGCAAGTCAGGCTTAAAAAAACACTCCACTGTACGGCTGACCAGCCCACATTCCAAATACCGAATCACTTACACACCTTTGTGGCTGTATTATATGTGGATAATAAACTTCTGACATGACTTTTGTTCCTTTTAGATTTATGATGCGTCACAAGACAATGCCAGGATGATGCTGCAGATTGACAACGCCAGACTGGCAGCAGAGGATTTCAGAATCAAGTGAGTGGAAATGTTACATAAGAAGTTATCAAATCAAATCAAATCAAATCAAGGTTTATTTATAAAGCACATTTAAAAGCGATATTTGGTCGGGCCAAAGTGCTGTACATGTAATAACTACAATCACATAAAAACACATTTCTATAATCACAATAAAAGACAATAAGTTATCAACCTATGTAGCATAGTTTATAATGACAAATGTCTGGAACTTTGCAGATGCAATAATGCTTGTTTGGTATACTTACTGGCCATGTGGGCTTGTTGTCACAAGGGTGTAACGGTCAACACATTAAACTGGTGTAACTGGTTTTAGTGGAGCTTCACCTTTTCTTTGTTGTTGTTGCTGGTAACCCTAACTGAATGGGTGCAGCAACATGATCCTCTTTGCCTTTTTCTTGACAGGTATGAGAATGAGCTGGCAGTGCGTATGTCCGTGGAGGCCGACATCATGGGACTGCGCAAGGTTCTGGATGACCTCACCATGGCACGGTCCGACCTGGAGATGCAGGTGGAGGGCCTGAAGGAGGAACTGCTCTACCTGAGGAAGAACCATGAGGAGGTGAGAGTAGTCCAGTTAGGAATCACATCCTTACAGTGAGCTCAGCACACCAATGTTCCAAAGTACACAATAAGAAAACTCCAGTCTCGTTCAATGTACTTTAGTATCTTTAGGTGATCAGTTTTTGGGTGCATTACTGTGTCTTCAAGTATGATAGGCACAATATGATTACCTGGAATGTACTGTTAAAAATGTGAATGTGGAACGCTGGATACTTACCACCCTAAGCAGTCGCTATTTCAGCTATGTAGCAGGAATAGAGGGACCAGCAGTGGTTGTTGTTGCTCATGTGAACACTGCACTGTACAAATAAAAGAAAGCTAATGTAACTTTTGCAAAACACTCCCTGTTGCTAAACGCTATCATTTTAAATTTAAAAAAAAGGAGTGAATGGAAGTACAATTAAAAAGAGTAATTAGGTCAGTAAACTCACACAGCAACTGCAGTAACACAATATGTATCCATCAAAAAACAGATCACGCTTGCTAACATTTCCAAGTTTCATAATGGTGTTATCTTTAACCTGACTTGACCTTTGTCTATGTTGTCCTGCCTGTAGGAGATGGCGGCAATGAGTGGCCAGGTTAGCTCTGTGAATGTGGAGGTGGATGCCGCGCCTCAGCAGGATATGTCCAGGGTCCTGGATCAGATCAGAAGTCAGTATGAGGGCATCGCTGAGAAGAACCGCCGTGAAATGGAGGCCTGGTACAAGACCAAGGTGAGGGGAGCGATGATACACTTTATGTCTGCATCTTATTTCATTCAAGAAGAGTCTTCAATATCAAGGTATTACCTACACATTTATGTCTAATTTCTTGTTTTCTAGTTTGACGAACTCAACCAGCAGGTTGCAGCCAGCACAGAGACCCTCCAGACCTCCCGCACTGAGATCAACGACCTGAAGAGGACCCTGCAGTCCCTGCAGATCGAGCTGCAGTCCCAGCAAAGCCTGGTAAATCGGATATACAGATATTCTTTTTTCAACCACAATATAAACTTCCTAACCGTTGCAATATACCCACACTATGAATACTCAGTCAGTCAGTAAACCTGTCAGTCACTGTTTTTATGGCTTCTTTACTTAAAGGCGTCTTTTTTGTAAGTGACTTAGGTAAATAGAGGAAATGAAAAACAAGATATTAGCACTCAGTATCCGCTTATATCTCGTCCTGTTGTTCTGCTCCTGTGAAGAAATCAGCCTTGGAGGGCCAGCTTTCAGAGACGGAGAACCGCTACAGCCAGCAGCTGAGCCAGCTCCAGAACATGGTCTACTCCCTGGAGAACCAGCTCCAGGAGATGAGGAAGGGCATTGAGAGGCAGTCCAATGACTACCAGATCCTGCTTGACATCAAGACCAGGCTGGAGATGGAGATCGCCGAGTACAGGAGGCTGTTGGATGGAGAGTAAGTCTTCAGGGACAGTTTGTCACAAAAGTCATTGGCGTTTGATTTTGTTATCTGTAGCTGGACTTAAACAATGCAAGCAGCTTATTGGATATGTATCTGTGTCATATTAAATGAACTATCCAATACTCTAAATCAATATTCCCTACAAGTTGTATAGTAATTGTGAAGCTACAGATAAGAGACAGTTAGCCTAGCCCAGCATAGCATGAATAAAAGCTAGCCTGGTTTATCTAAAGACCGCAAAATCCGCCTTATAGCTCATTTTAAATTCACAAATTGAACCCTTATAAAAACAGGTATAATATGTTAACAAGGGAGCTTTAGAGATGCTGCTAGACTTTTCTTTACCTTCTTTTCACAAGCTAACTAACTGGCTGTAACTTCATATTTAGCACGAGTGGTATCAGTTCTCTCATTTAAGACTCAAAAAGGGACTAAAAACTATTTCCCAAAATGTTGGACTATTCTTTCATACTATTGTTTTATGTTATGGTTTTAATTGTAACTTTTTTATATTTTGCAGAGTATCTTCCAGAAAATCTTCCAGTCAATCTTCCAGTAGAACTGTGACAGTCAAAGAAGTTGTCAAACAACAGGAAGTCGTTGGTAGGTTTATATCACTGACGTCACTTTTTGCTCTTTGCTTGTAAAAATGTAATATGCCACATATTAAAGTTTGTTTTGATTCTCTTTGCAGTTAAACCAGTCATCACCCAAAGGAGAGTGGTGGTGGTTGAGGAGATTGTTAATGGACAAGTGGTGTCACGCACAGAAAAATCGAGTGAAACATCCTAGACGGAATGGAAAACAACACATCTGCTATGTTTTTGTCATACCAAAGTCTGAAAAAACCTTGCATATTCTTTATTTCTCTCTCTGAAAAGGTGTGTGAAATTAATAATTTGATTTATTGTCAGGACATATTTATTCTCACGCATTGTCTAAGCAATGGAAAAGGTCAATAGAAAATAATTGTGCATTTAATCTTCTGTAAAATATTGTTTCAAAATGAATCAATCAGATGCAATCACAAAAAGGAAATTAGACCGTTGACCAAGTGTTTGCTAATCTCTGAGATGTTAAGAATGTTCTTAATTAGGACCAATCTTCCCATAAATCTTGTGTAAAATCTATTGTGAAAGGGATATTTTCAATTTCCTAATAAACATCTTTCTTCCACTAGTTTGTATGTTGAATCTATTTTGTCTTCTTTTAAAGAAAGAAAGAAAAGTCTATATGTATTAAAAGTCACTGCCTTCTCAGTTTACCTCCATGCTCTGTAAAACGTTCCTAACAGGCCACGTGCAGGACCAGGGTGTACAAAAACTAGGAGAGCAGGTTAAGGTTGAACAAATAGGGATTACCCAAAATATATATACAGTGTTTAGGATGGAAGAAGGTTCATGTTGAACAATATAAACAGATAGAGGGCATAGCAGCCTCTCCCAGCAGCCACTGCACGTCCTCTCCAATATGTTCAAAACGTTCTCGCGGTATCAACCGCTATTTCAATTCTCTCCGATTGTCTCTGTGCCTCAGCAGCACAGTTGATCACCCTGTACAAACACAGTAAGAACTTACTTTGATGACACAAACAGTCATCCTCATGACTCCTACCTGCTGTACACGCCCTATTTGATAGACTTTTCACTTTCTTTGCTTCTTCTTTGTAATTTATTGTTTACTCTGACCTATTCTTGATTCATTTCATCTCCCTTTCTCTCTTTGGACAATGTGATCGCCATGCTTCGAGATCCCCCCCAAAACTGACTACACTTGGGCTCATTCTCACAGGTCTTCCACATTTGCCAAAATTCCCTAAAGCACGTGGTGTACAATGAGCTGTGACCAAACTCCCAACACCGTGTGCACTGTATTGGCTCGGGAACAAACATCCTCACTGGGTAACTGATACGATACGATACGATATACTTCACTGTCCCCGTAAGGAAATTAGTTCTGGACCCCGTCCTGCAGGTCCGCATACATGTACATATACAAACATAGTGGACATTAAGAGACATACACATATCATCAGTCATACACCGTTTGAACAAACACAATACACAGACGCACATACTGACAATGGCGACCTATTGCACAACCCTCATGGCCAACATTTAAAAAGTACATTTGACTACATTTCATTTCATGTGAATGTTAAGAAGCTTAATGGACATAGGTAGGAATGAGTGCTTATAGCGGTTCAGCCTGCTCCTGGGAACCCTGAATCTTCTATAAGAAGGTAGGAGCTGGAATTCTGATGTGATCCCGGAATACTGTGTACAACAGTGTAGCACAGGGCTATTCAATTAGTTTGGAATGGGGGCCGGTTGATGAAAATGATCCAAAGCAAGGGGCCGGGAAAAAGATGGCTTGAAATATGAGCAATCATATTAAGAGCTTCAGATACAGTAAATACTACAACAGCATAGTGGAGTGCATATATTGTGTTTAATTCAATCAAACAACATAGCCCCAAGGCCTTTATAGATCTAAATGGCAAGTTCAGAACTCAATAGGCCTACATGTTTCATTTTATTTCATTTAGGTGAAATGATCTAATCATTCGCGCAGAGATGCAATCAATGACAGGAGTTGTCACTACAGTAGCTAGGAGGTGGGTTCGAAACCCGAGCCTGCCAAAGTTTTCAGGCATTGTCTTCCCCTCTATCTCTCAATTTAACACCCTCTCTGGAATAAAGGCACTCTGGCCCAAAACAAATTCTAAAAAAATATAATTCTTAAAAGGAAAAAAAAGTATATCACTTTTTAACATTATACTCAAAGGGCCAGCAAATATCCCCCCGGGGCCGGACTTGGCCCGCGGGCCGCCACATCGCCAAATAGCCCTGTAGCATAACTGATCATGTGTGTTCTCCATCACTCATCCTGTACATTCTGTGGCTGTCTCACTCTGTCACAGGTTTGAAATCTTCTGGCATCAAGTGAATATGGTATTCCATCGACGACACCTTTTAGTGGAGCTTTCTCTGAAAGTTTGAAACTCGACACATGGTAATCCTCCAATGTTGTTAACGCTTTCTTTAGCTGTGCTTGTGACACACACTCAACAATGACCAACCCACTTCTCTTCACATCGACACACTGTACATAGCCAAGTTGGTCCATGATCCAACTTGCTACATCGTGCTTGTCAGACAGAACTCCAGCTACATTGATCCCAATCGGTTTTAAGTAGGTTTCTTATTCATCTTTGTTGTCATTATTACCTATGCCACTTGACAAATCTTTCCTTCCTGGTCTTGTCCAGCTGCTCCATCACATGTGTCTACTTCCATCTTCCTTCCGGTCACGTACATCTGCCCACGCCCATCACTCTACACTGTAGGAATATACACAATGCTGGCCAGTCCATAGCTGAGTGCAGAGAAGAGAAGACTCTTTTCCACTAAAAGATGGGTGTCTTAAATGAAGTGGCTTCTTTAAACACCCCTCCAGCTTTAGGAGAATGGCACAGTCCAATTAACCGTGACAAAACTGGGGTTAACACAACACACAATTAACAATCACTTAATTGAACAAGATTGCCTGCACTCAATCTAATGTGTCTGCGTATGAATGATTTTAAAGAAAAGAAACTGTAGTTACAGCCTTCACACATGGTGAGAGAGAATATTTAACCACAAAGGTTTTACTGTATAATTATCCATTTTTTCAATCTCAATTGTTTTTTGAGATTAAGGGGGTGGTCTTTCTTTTTACTAGGTCAAACCTAAAGTTCAGTCACCTTTCCCAACCAAATCATTTTCGTAAAGGTCTCTTCCTCTGTCAGATATAACCAAAAGCTTCTGGTTGCTAATTGTTAGCTAATGTTAGCAAACTTTAGCTATATTGCAATGTGACAGATATAAACTAGGCATACTGGACAAGTTGGCCCACGTTGTGACTTTTCCGCTCAATAATCTGCATTATACCTTCGTTAACCACTAAATTCCGTTTAACAAACGTCACAGTTTGGCGTAACCCTTCCCTTGCGTTCGGTCATACCCCCCTTCCCATACTATTTTCGGTCAAAATTGACCGGTGTGTTTTGCACAGTGATATCTCTGGAACCCCTTATCCAATTTTGATGGTTGTCATCTCATTTGAACAGTCAAAGCAAGTAGAATCAAGGGGTGGATGACACCAGGCGTGAATTTCATGCTATAACCTTGCAGTAAATTCAAAGATAGTGCTTACTCTACATTACTGTATATTATAAAAATGCTTGCCATGCTGTGTTTACTGGAGATGGGAATGCTTTAGTTGGTGTTGTAGCTGAGATTCTTCCCATTCCGATGATGTATGGGATGTATTGATTTGATACAAGCAAGTCAGTGTTTCATTGTGTACTTTCAACTACAGTATATGGTCTGGACCCACCGGTGGGCCCATCAAGTTCAGCATTCACTGCATTCACTGTGATGAATATAAAATAAGACACTGATACTGTTTTCCTCAATGAACATTTAGAGAAAAATAAATATTCAGGGTCCTCTCCCTAAGGGGCCTCTTCCTCAGGGGCCTCTTCCTGGTCTGTTGACTGTTGGTCAGACTCATAGTCTGGATCGCTGTTGTCTTCCATTTCTGAGACATCGTCCTCTATGTCTGGTTCAATCTCCTCTTCATCTGGTTCAATCTCCTCTTCATCTGGTTCAAAACATTTGTCCAGAGCCTCTCTGACAGAAAATCGCCTAATCGGTCGCCAGAGTTGGGTGTAACGCGTTACTTTGTAACTCGTTACTGTAATAATATTACTTTTGTCGGTAACGGAGTAGTGTAACGCGTTACTTTTATAATTCAGTAATCACACTACAGTTACTAACATTGCCCCGACACGCGTTATTTCGTTACTTTTATAAAATCAGTCATAATCACACTGACAGACAAGAGGGGTTTCCGCCGCAGGTTTATATGTACGTAATCTGCGCGTCCACATCTCCACATCTCCACGTGCAGTGCTGCATAAACATGGCTGAGTCAGCGATAACTTTCGAGGGGTGGAGGTATGCCCATTATTTTGAGTTCGTCCGAAGAATAGACAGGAATGTGACGGTGAGGTGCAAACTGTGTCCAGGCCAGAAGCTGTTATCCACTGCTGTAAACACCACGTCAAACCTCAACAAACACCTGCAAAGAACACATGCTAAGGTGAAGCTAATAGCTAAGGACCGGACCCCCGAACCCAGAGTGAGGATGTTGTGAGTCGCCGCCGCCGACTCCGAAGCGGCACAAATTAGAATTTGGAGGACCGGTAACCAAAGCAGAGATGGACAGGCTTGTAGCATCCTTCATAGTAGAGGTAATGTTGCCCATTTGCACAGTGGAATCACCATCGCATCGTTCAGAGATATACTGCGCAAAATACAGATAGCAGGAGACAGAGGACAGCCATGGTCAGAGCTATCTGGATCAGTCTTATGCGACAATGGAAACTGAACTAAAGAGAACATTTGAAACTTTAGCAGTCTGCGTGATCTGCCTGTAGGGAGGGGCGGGCCGGCCCTACGAGTAAAGTAACGAGTAAAGTAACGAGTAAAGTAACGAGTTACTTTATGTAGAGAGTAACGAAGTAGTGTAATATATTACTTTTTTTTAAAGTAATATGTAATATGTAATATATTACTTTTTTTTAGTAACGACCCCATCTCTGTCGGTCGCCTACTCATTGTGTCAATGAGTCAAATGTGAGCAAGGCACAAATATAACTGCATGAGAGACAGTAATGGAGGGGCATTTACTGCAAGAAAGTGAGAGGTTGTTCTTTCTCGAGGGGCACAGAGCTGGCCCCTGTGAGAAGATAAGACATTGTATCATACAGCGCGAGAACATTTTGGAGATTTTTTTGTGTGTGTGTGTGTGTGTGTGTGTGTGTGTGTGTGTGTGTGTGTGTGTGTGTGTGTGTGTGTGTGTGTGTATATGCAGTGTTTCTATCTGTCCACTAGATGTCGGTATCTTCACTTTATTTAGGTGTTATGTAGAGTAGACAATGGCATTGTATATACTTCTTGGTCAGAATGTAAAAATAAGTGTTCTATAATTACTGAAAATGATAGTTTCGATGACAAATGGTCCATTTCACATTGTTTTGAATGATATCACTTACTGTACATTGACATGGTACATGTCTATTTTAAATTGAACAACCACATGACATCTTGTGAAAATTGGATTTTAGA